TCCGTATTGACAAGAAAGGAAGTGATGGATATTGTCAAAGCCCCCGATCTCAAAGGAGATACGTTTATGCATATGTTGGCACGGAACAGTGCATACTTTGAGGCCTTGAAGTTTGGAGGGGAATTGCTCTTCCGTGGAAAGTTACCCGAAGACAGGAACAAACAAGGCAAAACTATCCTGACTCTCGCGTGGGAGACAAATCCAAGAGAGGCGACGAAAATGTTAAGTACTCTTTTGATGCATAATCGTGAAGACCAGGAAGGTGAGATAATTACCCCTTAAATTTTTTGTTTTGTTTTTTAGTTTGAATGAGTTTGAGTAAATATAGATTACCTGTCACTTCATCACCTTCAGACGACTTCATTTACATGTGTGGGACGACACATAAGCTTAATAACACAATGGAGCTTTCCCTTTTTAACAATAAATATTGTTAAATAAGAAATTATTTAAATGAAGTGACGGGGACAATTTATTCTACAGTTTGTCTCTTAATCATAACTATAACAAAATTCTCAAATCTGATTGGTTCTCAACTGCCCTGATTTCAGCCTTAATAGGACAGTACGCGTCATGCCTAAGTAATTGGACAGTACGCGCCATCACGAGCGCGCTTAAATGGCTTTTTTTTTCATAGCTAGCGAAAAAATCTTGGAATTTCTTGTGTTTTGATTTTAAAAAAGCCCTATATATCACAAATTTTGTTAAAGTTATGATTAATTGGTAACAGAACTTCGTGTCGTCCAATTCGGTCTGTAATCATACTCGTGATTAAACAAATTGGACTCCCACTACGCGGTCGTCCGATTTTGTTAATCACTCGTATGATTACAGACCGAATTGGACTCCACTCAGTCCTGTTACCATTACATATGAAATGTAACTGTCCTTGGAGTAAAAACAGGTTTGACCACCATCTTTAAATAAAAACATTTAAACAAGTGCATACTTTGAAAAAAGCCTAACATTAAAATGTGTATTGACAGAAGTAGGTATGGAATCTCTGGCCCCTTTCACAACTGTTCTTTGTCAGACATGCAAAGCTACCCAGAAGAAGGGGAAGGAGAAGAAGGAGCAATGCATGACGACTTAAAGAACAGTAAAGAAAGAAACTTTGGAATACCCAGTTTGTTTACATTATATTTTCTCACATCAGCATACTCCAGATTTGAAATGATGGGGTGATCAAAGAGTTCATGGGAAAGTGTTCCATGTTTTTTTTTTATCTCGTACGTGTATTACCCATCTCAGGTAGATTCCTGTTTGCTGAGTTAATTCTTGAGGCTGGAAAATTTGTCATGGGATTTTATTGGGAGATTAATTTTTGGGGGCTTTTGTTGGAAGCCCTGAGGAGATTGTTACCTTTCTTGTGTGTTGAAATCCCCCTAGGCATGTGTGAGAATTCTTAAAAATTATGAGGTTTATACACGTAGACTTTCTTTCGTAGCCATTCTTTTGGTAGTAGCAGTCACTTGTAATATTAAGACATCTGGCCCAACAGGTTGCTCCACTGGCCCAAGCTACTGGTCAGCACTTCATGTCCCATGCCCTGTTGGGTTGCAAAATGACCTGACCTAATTAAGCCAAAGGTTAATTTCCAGCTATTCTGACATGGGTGCATCCCACTTTAATTAGCCTTATTGGACAGGTCAATGGTTTTACCAAAAAAGCCTGTATTAAGGGAACACCTAGCATGTTGACCTGGTACAGATTTTTTTTTTTGAAGAAGGGGAGAAGGAAAGGGGGGGGTCTGATTTATATGTTTTGGTTTCACTAGAGAACGTGAATGTCCAATTGGTTGCCTGGGTTCAATGGACCTCATCTGACCAAATGGAGTTTTAAACTAAGGAAACAGCAAACAAGTACTTTTGGTATATTAAAGAATGTTCAAACACGCACAAAAGTGACTGCTTGTAGCTTAATAACAATACAGTGAAACCCGCCTTTTAGCTACCTCGGTAATACAGTGTCACCCGGCAAAACTACCATACATCAAGTCTTGTAAAAAAACCCACGTTAATACGGCAAAAGTTGTTTGGCCCGTTGATGACTGTATTAATGGGGTTCCACTGTAATCGTAAAAAGAATGAATGAGTAAGAATCATATAAGAGCTGAACTTTCCCCTTTTCCTTTTTCATTAGGGAGATCAACTGAGATTGACCCTGAGGAACGTATCAGTGCTGATGAAAATCTTGTGGCCACCAACAGTCCAGCCCATAGGTTGGCTTCTCTTGAATTTTCATCCGAAGGTGGTGAACAATCCCTTTGTCATCTCTCAGTTGCTGATGAAGGTATACCATATATTGACCAGGTATTCTCACTCTCAAGTGGAGACAATGAGTGTAACAATTACTTAAGCAGCCCCCAAGAAGATACAATAAACAATGAGGTGTGCTCAGTGTCCTCTGAAGAGTGTGTGGCAAGAGTAAAGAAGTCGTATTCCAGTGAGGAGCCAAAGGAAGGTGAAATCAAGAAATTATGCGTGGAAGCCACCCTTACCAGTTCAAGTGAATGTTTGACTAAATTCACTGATGCAGACAGCTCATTTTTAGAGTTTGTCAAGACTGAAGGGCTGGGACTGCATGCCCAAACAAAGAAGAACATTGTGGGTGTGGTTATGACAGAGTACTCAAATAAATTGAGAGAAATAGAAAGTAGACTTCCAATGTTGGGGCAGCTAATATCAGAAGAAGAAATGGCTCTGAGGCAGAAGGAAGAGAGAGAGCAAGCCTTGGAAGAGGAACTTGACTTGCTGAAAAAAGAAATGTTGGAAAAGCAAAGGTGCGTTAATGATCTGAGGCAGCAGTGTGAGTCGTTACGTGATGAGAAGTTGTTGATTAAAAGGAAAGTTGTGTATTGTCAGGAGGTTGAGCAACAACTGGAGTCAGGGAACGGTAGTAGTTTAAAAAAGGTCAGATCAGAGTGACTAGACTTGACGTTGTGACTCCTCAGGAATAAAAGAACCAAATTCATTGATGACTTGAAGGGTTAAATCTGGGAGTAGAAAGTTTGAAGCTGAAGATGTACTGTTTAATTGCTTGTCCAGTTTGTTTTGCTATTGCCCCTGGCCCTTAAAGCTTCTTTACTGCGGCAGTGTTCTACCCAAGGATTTTAAGAAGGCCAGGAGGTATTCTGGCTGTGATTTTCGACAGTGTTTGTATGAAGCCTGCTGTAGACTGAATAATAGGATAATTATAAAGACAGTAAACAATATGCAACCCGCCACATCAAGGCAGTAACCAATATGATCGTTTCTCATTTCTCTCCTTGTTTTTGTTATGCCCATTGACAGTGTGGGAAGGTTGTTTATTAATCCTTGTAAGCCCCTCAAAGGGCCCTTGTGTTTCTAGGACAATTTCAAGATGCATGGCTGCCATTCAGTGAAATGAATGCACCACAGGTTTCATCCAACATTAAATCATTTTAAAAAATGAACTAATTGCGAGAAATGTCAACGTAAGGTTTAAGCCAGGTGGAAATGATTTTCCAGTGAATAAAGCCAGGTACCCTTCCTAGCCTTTAATACTTAGGAGAACACTGTGCAGATGTTATTAGAGAAAGCTTGCATTGAGAGAAAACATACAGCAGTGATGTATATTTGATCTATATTTAATCAAAAAAGTGCCACCGTCAAGTAAGCACTCTTTATAGGATCAAAAATGTAAAATAACAGCCTCCTACCCCCTCCCCCTTGGAGTAGTGCCTCACTGTTTCAGCAACGTTGTTCTTTCTATGGTAATGTTATTTTTGAAAAAATAAAAAAACCATAAAAACAAGAACAATTCCATGCTAATGTTAGTAGCTGATGGGAAGTTTTTTTAAAAAAACAATTAGTGTCATCCCTCTTTAAGTGGTGCATTGACAAGTAGAAAAAATATAAAGAGTACTGGCACTCTTTCGAATAAATACAGTACGCATTTTGAGTCGGCATGTGACTTAAAATTTGAACTATTTATTTGCAAGTGGGTGGCACTTAAGCTACACAAGTTGCTTGAAACACAGCACATGCTACTTTAGGGTCCTCTGCAAAGGGCTTTCGGATAGTGGAATTGCGAGTTCTTTGGGATCATTTGAAGATTCTGGGAAACTGACCACCATACCCCTCCCCCTAAGTCAACATAAACACTTAATTCACTTAGGGCAAGATTGACTTAAGGGAGGGTAGCTTCAATTAATGTTCTTTTTGCATGAGTTTGAGCCAATGTTTATGTATATAGTAGTAGTGTCAAAGAGTATATTTTTTTATGACTTCTATGGAAATTATATTTTATAAATCAAAGACTAGTGAAAGTCTATTTAAAACTGTTTAGAAGTCAGTCTTTAGAGTTCTGAAAAATTAACAAAAACATTTGAGAAATATTTCTTATTTTTTGGGGGGGAAAAAAGAAGGTCAATTCCTCCATTTTGTTTTGTTTGTTTTGTTTTTGGAGAAGACAATTTTATTGATTTATACGGGCTAAATAAAAGTAATATTTTTTGCGTTAAATATTACTACAAAAATTAATATTATTAAGATTAATTAAGTGTAAAGATATCATTTAATCTGGATGTTATAGTTCTTGAAACATTGAAGGATTATTTAAAACCATGTACTAATTTCTTTCGGTACTGTCTTTGTAAATAAAAGTTCCTTTCATTTTGTATCAACACTGTCATGGCGTCTCAATAACTAACCTTCTCTTGCGTTGTTGTTAGCCTTCATGCCCTTTATTATTTATAGCCATCTGTCCGCCGCAAAGGTCCTTCTATGTCATAGGGGGAGGAAAAAATGAAAGCGCGCGGGGGAGGATGGGAAGGGACCACCGCGCCTTTCCTAATATTTTTTATTATTGCTATTTTTCTTGGAATACCCAGCTGGAATCTCTGCGGAGGAGGGTTTATAGGTCAGGCGAAGCATTTACAAGTTTACAGCCTGGAAACAGTCTCCAAGCTACGCTAAACCGAGATTATTTGGGGTCTGTCAGCATTGATGATTGAGGAGTCACTGGCCAATTGACACGCTCTATGGTGTAACTTTGACTTGAAAAGCTTTCTATTTCAAGAAAGCGATGGAGCCGCGACGAGGCGGAATGTACGAAAAGAAGCTTTTTGTAACCGTTTTTTTTTTCTTTCAAGTGCAGAGTTAAGAGTGGGAACTCTGTCGGGCTTCTTTTTTTTTTAAGAAAAAAAAAACCTTTTTAGTGGCGCCACATTAATGAACCTCCTACCGACTTGGTTAACAACAGCTATATTTTTTAGCTTCTTAAACTATTGCTCTGAAAAGATGCAGACAGCCATCGAACTTTGCTTTTTTTTTTTTTGGGGGGGGGGGGGGGGACAAGGGAGAGGGGGGGGATGATAAAGGGGTGCGTGTGGGAGTATTAAGTGGAGATGTTATTATAAGGAGTAGAAGTAGGTGTGTGGAGAAAGATTAGAGATGCGGTAGGGGTGGGGGGGGGGGGGGACAAGGTGTGTTATGGGTAATTTAAAAGTGGTGTATGGTAATGAATATCGTGTAATGATTAATTACTTTTCAAAATAATACGTCATGAAAGTTAAAGATTTCTTAATTGTTAAATATTTCGACTTATCTGTTGTAGCTTGCGCGCGCACGACCCTCGTTTGATTTTGGGCATTCCGGAACGTAACATGGTTTCACAAAAGTACCACACCCCGCTTTGCGGCAACAACTGTAAGATCGAACACCATGATTTGGTTACAGTCCTCTGCCTGGACAGTTCGCAAAAGTCTGATGAAATACCTGACCTACTGAAAGAATGCATCGGCTCCTACCAGAACTGGGATCACAACGGTGAAGTTCCTGATCCGCTAGAGGACCTCAGGTGCCCGCTGATCTATCTGGCGTCCTCATTTGGTAAGGCAGCGCTCGTTCGGGCCCTGCTTCAAGACAACTTCGACGCGCGCGCAGTAAACTTCAACGGGGAAACCGCACTTCACGGGGCTACCCATTACATTTACCGTACGGGCGCGCTGAAAAACCGGGGCTTCAAAGTGGCTTCCACTTTAGGGCCGATTAAAAATAGGATGAAGGCTTTTGAGCAGATCTTGATCAGTTTAACTGAAAAAGACCCCAAACTTATGTTCGTTCAAGACAACAACGGGAACACAGCTTTTCACGCTGTCGCTGACAACATTTGGAACGATCGGTCAAACGACCCCCAAGGGAAAACTGCTAACTTTTACCAGTTTTGCCTGAAAAGTATGATTAATCGGGCCTTGGCTTTAGAAGAAGGCGGAAAGTTGACGAGAGAGGAGATATTAGAAGCCTTGAATGCCGAAAACGGTGAAGGAGATACCATTTTCCATATATTGGCGCGGGATTACGCGTTCGGATTCAAAAGTATGAAGCAAGTTCTGGACAAATTTTTTGATGGCCAAGTGCCCTCTAAAATCAACAAGGAAAAAGAGACTGTCGCCAAGATCGCTCTGCGGCGCAATCAAAAAAGAGCGATACAGGTCTTTCCTGGCTTCTTGAAACAAAGTAAGTGGTGTTAAAAACCTGAGCCGGGTTGTTCAGAGCTGGGTGGGTTAAGGGACTGTGAATATAACTTCGAACGTTTACGAAGCAAATCCCTGTAAATTCTTTTTAACCGTACAATCCGATATTGGATGAGCTAAAATGACCCTTTAAACTAGCAGTGAAAACGCAGTTACTGACTTAAGAAACAACCTAGTATCATGTGGTTTACGCCATCTTTCGGTTCCTTTCGGTAACAAGGCGAAACTTGGTCAGGATTTTGAATTCCCCACCAAGAAGTGCATCTTATAAAAACACTAACGCATTCAGTGCCTGGTAGCTCTCATATTATAAGCTTCACTGCTTTCGGATTTTTATCGGACACTTAGAACTTGTAACCAGGACTAATAACTATCCGGCAAAACATAATTGAGAGAACAAGCTTAACACGCGTTTTACTTATCTTAACATCGATATTTTCAATTTCAACGTTACCAGTTTATTATAGGAAAGCACTTGCAACTTTCGCACTGTTTCATTTACTGAGCTACACTTAAAGACTTTTCGAACGGACCCATCCGGTATAGCAAAGATCTACTGTTCACTAGCTCTCAGCGGCAGACAAGAATCGGTAGTTCATAGTATCGGTCTGATATCGCCTATGAATCGGTTCAAGGTTTGTCTCCTACAGGGTGCTTAAGCAACGACGATGGCAACGGCAACGGCAACGAGACCGACAAAAAAGCAATAGGTTTAGATTGGCAAAACAACAACACGTGCATCACGCTTTTTTGTACATTTTATTGCCGTCGTTACACGATTTCTACGACGTAAAACTGCCCAATTTCACGTTTTGTGGAGGACGGAAACGCAAGACAACGACTCTCTTTTCCTTTTCCTGAACCCTGGTACAGTCCTTTAGAATTTAACTCCCGAAAAATTCGCCAGCATTTGTCGAAATGAACAAGATAGAATAAACGCGATAAAGTTTGAAGCAGCGCGTTTTCGTAGTGTGGCCGTCCCCGTCGTTGTTGCTTCCTATTACCTGTAACTTCATTAATGAAGACTGAAGAACAAGGGGACAAACTCAATCAGTCCAGTCACCTCATTACGGAGCTGATACTGTACAGTTGGAACTTTCCTTTCGCAGCCTTTATGTTCTCACTCTAGTACGTCATTCAGTCTGTTCGTTCCAGCCTGCTAGCAGACTGAGGCGTCTTTTCACGGTAATATATACCTGCTAGCAGGGAAACTATTCCATTGTGCCTGTCCACATCACTGAAGGAGGAGGATTTACTGTCCGTGGGCGGATTTAGAGGGAGCCCTCCGCCATTTTTTGATTTGAAATAACTGGCTTGAGTATAGCCTCGTCATCATTTCCACTTGATTTACATCTGGAGTTTCCACAACGCTGTTCTATTTTGTTTGTAGGCGACAGTTCAATTTTAGTCAGTTCCGACGACTCTGAAACATCCGTCAGTGACTCGCCCTCACCTGGCACGTCAGGGGAATCTAAAGAGATATCTACACTCACTGACACCACAGTCCACCAGGAAATACCTTTGATTGTCATCTCTGATCAGGACATGCCACAGGTTCCCCACTCAATAGAAGCAGAAGAGAACAGTTCGAGTGAGGTTATTGCCAATTCTGAAGAGACAACGGATGGCTTTGCGGAGCAGGAACAAGACACAGTTCCGTTGGCAAACCCCGGAACACACGACCTGCTGACTGTCTCGATTGATAGCACCCTGGGAAAGGCCTCTCAAATTGAAGTTCCTTCGTTTCTTAGCCTTTCTCACAAGTCTAATGTCGTCAGTGTTTCACCGTTTGACCGCCTTATCAGCACACCGGTGAACGCCGAAGTGATGTATGTGACGGAAACTACTACAACCTCTAAGTGCAACAACTCGGCGGAAAAGGGAGAACAGGACGATGCTACACGCAAACATATTGGAAAGCTTGATACTGCCAATAAACACACTGCGAATGATCAGTCAGATCCAACAGCTCCATTTAGTACCACCTCCTCTTTTGATTCTGACTCAGGGTCTCCTAGCAACAGTCAACAAGGTTCCATCGGTGGCGAACCTCCCAGCGAGGAGAGAATGGCTATCAACTCTAGAGAGTCAGCGTCGCGAAAAAGTGACAATGAAGGCCAGACTGTCGCTGAAAATATCGCGGACGCCTCTGGTAAGGTAAGTGGCGATGTACAAGAAAACAGCTTTGAAAATGAAGCGTCCGAGGATAACGTAGTAGAGTCACATGGTGCTCATGTACCCATTGGTGATGTTGTTGACCTTGACGCACCGACGGCTGGAAAGGACGGACACGAGCCATCCAATCAGAAGACTTCGTTTGACGTACTGCAGGTAAACCAAACCCGAAGGGTCAACTCTGGTGATTATCCGACGCAGGAGATGGTCGTCTGTGGAACAATACCGAGTGACTTGTTTAATCCACCACTGAACCAAAGTACACAATCAGGAGAATACACCCAGCAGTACGCGGCATATTATATGATAGACACGCAAAGCCCCGCATCACAAAACCACTCCAATGTTTCTTACGATAAAACTCAAGCACAGGAGTCTAAGTCATTAACATCCCTCGCATCTGCAAGTACAGAGTCCATCCACTCCGACTCTCTCGAGTCACTGGACGTTAGTCAGGGGGGCTTGGATGATAGAAGCACCATTTTAAAGTGCATCACAGACAACTCCTTCCTAGAGTTCCTTATAACCGAGGGCCTTGAGCTTGACTCCTCTAGCAAAAAGGACGTTGTGCACGTGGTCATGACGCAATACAGTAACAAGCTCAACAACATAGAGAGTACGATTCCCAAGCTCGCAGCGCAAATAAGGCAAACAGAAACGACCATTGATCAACAAAAAGAGAAAGTCGCACAACTGCAGAAGGAATTAGAGTACGTGAAAAGTGAAATTGTCAAAAACAAGAATGCACTTGAAGGGTTCACCAATGAGAAGCAGGAATTAAGCAAGCGGCGAAAAGCCTTGAAGCGCAAGGTGACTCGCTGTGAACAAACCATGAAACAACTGTTGGGTAACTCGAAGAAGAGTAGATTTGATTGAGCATTTCCTTACCTCACTTAAGTTCTGACAAATTGTATACATTTTTACATCTTGAGTTTGCAAATAAATTCTTGCTAAACGGATTAATTTACCCAAGTTCAAGTATATTTCCCTTAAACAGACGTTAAAGAACTAGAAAAAGTACGCGTAAACAATTTGTTTCTCGATCTCTCAGGACTCGTTCTTTGTGTTGTTTTGTTTATGAAAGAACAATATTTCCAAACTGCAAAAATACTTAAAATGAAACTTCTAACTTGTATTAATACAACGCTGTCATTAAAAACCATTAAAGGTAATTTTCTTACCTAGTCATTCACTCAGTATGTGGAGGTCTTCCCGGCTGTGGAACTCTTTGATAAATTCATCAGAAACCTCTCTTCCTGCAATTGTGGTTTCTCCTATATATTATTACATCAATCCTCACGTAGGGCCCATTTTCATTAGGTATGATAACGTTACGCTACGCTACCATCAGATTATACCCAATTTTGTTCTTTAACCCTCCCTTAGCCTCCTACGAAGACGTTCTCAGGGGTTGGTCACACGTTCCTGCCCCAAAGCGTGACGAACGCCTAAGAACGTCTGCGTGAGAGGCTAACCCTCCCTGTGCCTTTAATGTATCAAAATTCAAAATTTGGGCCCCGTTTTGCTACAAGTCTTAGTGATGAGGAGAGAACAAGAAAAATGGCAGAAACGTTTCAGGTCACATGTCTCTTGAAAGACACCTTTGTAAACAGGCACCTAAAGGTGTCACTGTCATTGGCCCGTCATTTTCGCTTGACTCTCCATACTAAAGGCAAACGCACTTTGGGCCGGTCGTCCCATCTCTGTCCATCGTAGAGCTGGGGAGGTGAATGGTATCGTGTTCATCATTTTTAGTGCTGATTCCTCAGAGTTCAACGAAAAGTTTTATAAACGAAGAAATCTCAAACCTGAGGACGCATTTTGTTATATTAAAGCAATTTTGGGCAGATGCGGTTTGTGATTCGATTTACTAATCAAACTAGTGGTGGCGATTATCACGGGAAACATTAAACTTGAGTGTAACCACGTTTGCCTCGGTAGGGATCCTCGGTATGTAAAACACAAATGTGCGAAAGAAATGATAATTTGACATGCAGACAGAAAGAACAGAGGAGGGAAATACAGTAAAATATAATATCAGTACCGAGTGATCAAAATTAATGGGGTTTTATTACTTTTCCTTTGTGGCATGAACCTGTTTAGTTACATGTCCGTGTACATATATTATGAACTATACAAACAGCTTACATCATCTTACATCTCTGGGATACAACTTCAATAAAGACTATCCAAAAAACGCATTAAGTCAGTAATGAAAAAATATATTTTAGGTTGGTTAAAAATAGCATTGCTGGAAAAAAACTGTTTGTTTGCAAACACTCAATGTCATATCCAGGTAGAAGATTGGTGGTGTGTGGGCACCCTAATCAGATGGGAGGAGTCATTTGGTAGTTATGTGCTTATCCTCCAAATACGGCTTTCACCCTTCCCTACCACTAGGGGCATTTAGGGCCAGAGAAATTTGCGTTTAAAGCTAAAAAAATTAGGGGAACATTAAAGAGCCAAAGTATGGACTTTTCTTGTATCTGATTGTAGTACTAATATATTATAAAACCTTTTTCCATATTTGTGTTTTCCTGTCACTATTGAACCAAACTAAGCCCTCCATCCACCCCTCCCTGGATCCCACTCTTGGGCAGCCTTTACACGGTTAAGTAATATTATATTACTTTACTTTGTATTCGCTTGACACCCTGCCTAGAAAAACAGCCGCCTCCAATGTAAGAGAGATGCCACTGCTTTGGCCCCAAAACCTTTAGTATGGAATTTCTGAGACCAATGTCCCTAATGTTAAGGAGTGATGAGAGGCGGCTGTATTTAAAGGATGGCTATAGTTTACCACAGCTTGCCACGATTACCATGAAAAGTGGGACTGAGCCAAAAAAGAACTTTTGTTTGGCCCATTTGTAGATTGTGGATCTCAGTATTGAAAAAAAAAAAATAATAATAATAACAAAAACACAAAACCTAACCAAAATACTGAAAGTTTCGCGAAACATCCCTCAGCGGCAATGAGTGAGGAGAAACATCTGCCGTTTGCAGGCTACCTTAAGGACCTCAAAAGATTATACGGATTTAGAACTAGAGAGGAAGAGGCTTAATTTTACCCTAGCGCTCATGATTATTAACAGAAATCAATTTAAAAAAGCTCTCTTGTATAGAAAGTTAAATATCATGCATTTTTAAGGTGGCTTTTTGATTTTCAGCACATATAATACATTCTTTACATGCATAAATAAAGCTAAATATATCAAAATTTGATAACCATAATAAATTACATAAAATTTATATGTTTGTTATATATATAGCTAATCCATAAAAGGATCAAAATCCTTGACAGAGAAAAAATATCTTTCATTCAAGTTAAATTAAAAAAAAAAGTTTTGTCATCAAGTCAAGATACAAAGCATTATGGAAAATATATTTGTAATGATCTCATAATTTCTGCCATATAACATCCCTTAAGTGAACAATAAGTTAATATACTGCAATCAGCATGAATGTTTGTGGAGCAGTAGCAAAGAACTTGGAAGAGGAGCCTTTTACTTTTTGTAAGTTACTAGGTTTGGCGAAGGAGGCATCCTCAATAAGGAATTCATTCCCTTGGTCAGGGACAAGCACTAGTGAATGCCAGTACTTTTTGCACCTCTCAAGTGTTCTATTTCTATTTTCTTTTTTAAGTGTTCCTTTTCTCAATAGATTAATAAATTCCCGGCTCCTTACATGTATCATCAGTGATCAACACACAAATCTGCCATTTACCTCACAAAATGCTTTAAGATTTTTGGACACTTCCAATGTTAATATACATGTACACGTTGGTTACATACCCAGGGTGTGATGGGTACTCCCATATGTGGGCTAGATGGGTATGTGTTGCCTGATAAGGTATGGTATTTGAGGGTCTCCATCCCTAAATAGGGTATCATTTTTGCCCTTGTTGGTGCTTTTATCCCAGTGTGAACATTAGAAAGAGTACCATTACTCTCCTCCACTCTCTTTTTCTTTCCCCCCAGCCTCCCCACAACACAAAGAAGCCTCTGTGGAGGAGAGAGACTGTACCGTTATCATATCAGCTAAAATTCAAGAGTGTAAACGCCAACATGAGAAACAAAATTAATCATCTCTTTGAACTGAACTTTACCTTAGAATATTAGGAAGCCGATTTAAGGAAGATTTTTGTGTTGCCATTAAATCCTAAGTATTTTTATGTCTTGAATTAGGTCTCATTTTCCCGGTTTGGGCCTTAAATAGGGTATCAGTTTTCGTTTGTTTTATCCTTAAAAAAGGGTCAGGGTTTAAGAACCTGGGTGATACACACTATTATAATTATGGGAGTACCCACCCCTGGGTTACAGAATTATTATCAGATGAAAAAGCAAGATTGCCCTCAATAAACTTCTTCTAATCAAACATCCTACATGGTAATAAAATGTATTATACTTTTTTTTACCTTTATGCCAACTTGTTCATTTTAACAGCTGGACTACAACAAAGTCCTCTTTCAACCTCCTCACATGAGGAAATTTTCCGCTTAACAGCTTTAGATTCTTCTTTTAATTTCTTGGCTTGCTCAGCCAGCATTTTTTGTCTTTCCACTGCGACAGCAATGCTCTTTTGAAGATTGTCAATCTCAGTGAACAGCCTTAATTTCTCCTCCTCTTTCTGTTGCAATTTCATTTGGGAACTTTGAATTTCTGCTTCTAAACGTCTTTTTTCTATCTCTGTTTGAGATAATTCAGAATCAAAGACTGCCATTTTCTTTCCATACTCACTTTTAATAAGCTCCACAATTTGAAACTTCATTGCTGGGTTAAATTCCCTTTCCTGTGTCAATAGAAAATCAAAAAAAGCACTGTCCCCTTTGGATGATGCCTTTATAATCCCTCCTTCTGCCTCTGCTTTTCCTGGATCGTTAGCGTTAGAAGTGCCACATTCATTTTCAGCGGCACTTTCAGTTGTACACTCTGCATAGGATAGTCCATTTGACGCAGCAGCTGTAACTGTAGTTTCGTCAATCTCATGCCTCTGTGTCCAAGAGTATAAGGTTGATGGTGACGCACTACCATGAACCTCAACCTCCACATTATTTGGAGATGATGAAGGAACATCACTTGGGGATAGGTTTAAGTCTACTTCCTGCTTAATGTCTTCTTGTAGTGGAGATATGGTTCCATTTGTTTCTGACCCACATGTTTGAAAATTAGGCAGGAAAACAGGGTAAGGACCTTCAATTGATAAGACTGGTAACACTACACCTTCATCACTATCAGTGTGGGACTGGTCACCATTTTGCAACATTGTGGGATGTATGCAATTAACGGCAGTACATTCTGGTGATAACTGAATTCTTACAGCATCATGCGAGTGACTATCACATTCACCTGCGTTTGGCGAGGACATTTCTTTGGTGCCCTTAGCTGTGTTATGAAGAGAAAGAACAACAGATTCAAGTGATTTACATGTAAGTGTTGAGCCATGCTGCATTCCCTTGGTAAGGGTTCCTTTGACTTGCCCTGCTTTACTCCATACATCTTTGACTGCTTCCCTTTGATTACAGCCATTTCTTGACTCTGAGTAAGGTGTGCTTGAACTCTCCCCAGATACAGATACCTCAGAGTTTTGATGTAGGTCAGAGTTAAGTGGTGAAGTGACAACAGAGTCTAGAGCAAACACAAAATAGCACTATAGCTTAATATAATACCCCCCAAAACAGTGAAAAGTGTAAAATGATGGCCACCACAGAAGATGTTTGAGAGAAGAGAAATAATGAGAAGTGAAGGAAAACTAGTTTGAAGAAACATTTGCTCAGATTGTCAAGATTACCGCAGTGAATTTTTCGTTTTACTTGGGCCATTTGTTTAGCCCACACAGTGTATTTCCTTGCAGTGTACTGGGTCATTTCCTATCGGTGAGGCTCTCTTAGGAGGGGTATGTATGTCCCTAGTCTGAATTTCAAATACAGTCATTTCGTGTTTTGAGGAGTAGGCCATGTCCCTGATGGTATTTAACCCATCTTTACGTCATTTGTTGCCATTTCACCTAGACTTCTATTGCTGTTTTAAGGCCATGTCGTTTGTCGTGATTATACAAAAAAAAAATGGTTTGACCATCTCATATATCGATTGAGAAACTGTCAGGTTGCTATTTGACATGGTCTCTTTGCTTCTTTGGTATTATAGGTGATAAAAGCAAATTGGATAAGTCAGACAAGTTTCATACTGGATAAAACAGTTTAACTGTGCATGCATGCATATAATATTATTGTGGAGTTCTTTTTTGTACCCATGCTCCACAACAAAATAAAATATGGCTGCTGCTTTGATTTTGCACAGTTACATTGAGAAAATCATTGATTTAATGTTTAGTAAACTGTGGCTGAGCACTAGTCCTGTTTTTAGAAAAGTAAGAAAATGCACCCTGATTTGAGATGGATTTTGTTTTGGATTTAACCAAGTGCTTGACCAATTTTACTGGTGTGAATGGATCCATAATCCATTAAGTGCTATGCGAAGTTCTTTTAAGAAATAAACTAATGTGTTTTTGAATAAAAATACTTAAGAAATAATTTCTTTGTCTATTCTTTTGTGTTTGCTCATTAATAACATTAATTTAAAATATGATCATGAGACTCCAAGTAGAATTCAAGTTTCCAAGATTTTAAAAGCTTATTTGCATTTGTTTTGAATGGCAACTTCAAGAAGTCGCGCGGTTGTTAGTTTGAAAGCAAGGCTAAGAGGCTTGGTTACATTTGAATTTGGAGCATGCTCAATATGAATTGTTGAGGTAGTCGGCAGACAATCTCGCCCCAGAGCCTCTGTTACTTTTGTCCAGCGGATGGGGTGATCCCCGTCACCGTACAAAAGGATTGCGGCCTCTGGGAACGAGACTGGTCGGCAGAGGCTCCTTCCTCTTCCTATCTTATCTAGGAAGATCGAAGGATACTTTGTTTGCAGGGTACTGTTGAGGGTAAAGTTGCCGCTTGACAGTTCTTTGACAAGACATTCATAACAAAGCAAACTCAAACTTACCTGTTTTCTCTTCCATAATGCCAAAGTCGTTTGGATAGAACAACTTTCTCGCAACAGTTGTGTTTGTACTCGAGAGTATCTCAAACGCCGTTCGCGAGTGCTTGTTTTTGATGTTCGGAAATTCGGTATCGCCAAAATTTGTCAATATGTACTGGATGGACTCCCAGCCAGGAAGGGATGAGCTCTTTGCTAAGATGTGTAAGATGGTGTTTCCTTCATCGTTCTGAGCTGCGATGGCTTCCATAAGTTTATCATGAGGGAGCAAAGAATTGTGTTTAAGATCAAGAATACGTTCGAGCATAATTTCTAGACAACGCTGAAAATATTTCGCTCTTTTAAAGCGATCGCAGCGCGCTCCATCCACACGTGACTGCTTGGTTGTACACACAACGCTTTCCGCTGCAGTATGCAAAGGAGTTCTACTGTTCATATTTTCTTTCATCGAGAAAATGTTTGGCTCTCGAACACATAATGTACTTACAATAGTTTCAAAGACATCTAGTCTCTTGTCAATGGCCATAAAACCACCGCATTGCTTTAAGTTACCAACACGGTAGAAGTGGTCGACAAGCGCGTGTAAACAATTTTTGCCATCTTTTGTCACGACAGAAACATCAAACTCAAGTTTGAGTAGAGTTTCTAGAACTCGGTGCTTTCCAAATGCACAAGTTAAATACAGCAAAGGCTGCCTCAGCTCGGGAAGATCATCAGGAATTGCGCTGTTACGATCCCAGCCGTTCTGTTCGCACAACTGAATACACTGCCTGAGAAGAACATGAGACTTTGAAGAAAACCGAGAATTTTCTTTCCTGTTTTTCTCGATACACAAGGCCTTGATTAAGTTATGATGGTCAATGGTACAATCTTTAGCACAAAACGGAGTGTGACATTTTGATTCGTCGTTCATAACACTCATCAAAAGGTTAAGGTTTGAAGGCAATTCTGATGTCATAGTATGAACCTGCAGCAGCGATATTGTTGAATTGTTGAACCGTATTGTCGACGGAAAGGATTGACAGATCGACTCATATACATGGCGCTTACATGAAGTAATAACCGACCTGAGGCGCCCAAAGGCGCCCCAAGCTAGAGCCTGCGGTCTTTACGGCAGATGTGGAGCAAAAGGACGAGCATTCATCATGTATGTGGTCATGAAGTGTTCGTTCTCAAAAAAAGTTTACTGAAAATTTCAACAGTGATGAAATTTTTTGTCTGTGTCCATATAAAGTGAAATCAGAAAAGTGGATCGAGAATGCTTTGATATAGACTGCGTAGCAGGCGCTTGCAAGACATGGGTGCAAGAAAGAACGGGAAGGCACGCGTATCTCCCTCGAAAAGACAAAACATTCTATTCTTATATTGTTTGTAAGTGCCACAAAATATATGTACAAGAGGCACAGACTCGGAGAGACCTGGGGGGTACTCCCTTACATAAGAGGTATCTGCCGCCCCAAAGGGTATGGTTTTTGCCAAGAGCTTAGGCTCCTATTTTTGCGCCGTTTTGGTCTAAAAACGGGAATAGCAGGGGCGGATCCAGGATTTTTTCGAGGAGGGGGTGCACTCGTCTCTTGCTCTACTTCAACACCAATAAACCACATAGTTTTTTTTTTGCAGAACACCAGTTGTATTAGAAAACCGCAGGTAATCTCAGGGGGGGAGGGGGGGTGCGCACCCCCTGCACCCTCCCCCTAGATCCGCCCCTGAATAGACTGTGCCCATTTTGGTCTGGAATCGGGTATGGTTTTCGAGGGAATAAAGGGAGTGTATCAGCGTATTTATCGTTTCAATTTCAAATGTGTCAGAAAGGAAGAGAAATACGCGAATTCGAAAATGGAATTTAAGAAACCTTTTTTTCTTGCTGTCAATCTAAAAGCAATGATGACATAATTACTTAAATGCCAGGTCTGAAGGAAAACTGGGGCTGCACACCCCTCCTAAGAATTCCCAGAAGTACCCCAGGGGAGAGTGGGGTTTGGGGGTTCGTTGGCGGGAAAACGTTTTTTTTTGTTTTCACGTGTCGCCGAAGCCACGCAAACTAAGCTTCCGAAGCAGTCATTTCCGGGAGGAGAAACGCGGGAGAGACCACAATGGGAGAAAAGGAGCAGAATAATTATTGAAGGTTGGCTGAAAGACTAAAAGGAGTACGCAGTCAAAAGAAACCACGCATTTTTACCCATGGCAACTTTTCTCTAAAAACAACCAAACTATAGATTTTCCTCTGGGATGTCAAAACACCTCAGCTTTTCTCCAATCACTATTAGGCTGTCATCAGGCTGCGGTTTTCTCGTATAAACCTTTGATCCACCACGCCTGCGCTTGAAGCGGCGGGAACGTTCCTTGGATCGACTCCATTCTTGTACCCGGCCGCATATTTAAGCTTACAAAGTCGTGGTAGTTTTGACTGTATTTTTTGGCATGGCTTGTAATAATATTCCTGTTATGACTACTGAAAGATCAACTGTTGAAATTGACCAAGAGACGAGCCGCGAACAAGCTGGTAAGTCCTCACCCGCATTGTGCTATTCTCCTTCAGTCCTTGTATGATCTTGTATTCTGGAATGTGCTTTTAATAATCCAAAGGAAACCCAATGTTAACCTGAGTTGGAGGCGGCCTATAAAGCATAACCACTGAGTGGCTGTGAAGAAGGCTAAAAAACGTTAGACGCATTTATTTAGGAAATGTAAGGGATACAAAAGAACCTCTCCACAATTCAGTGACGATTGTACCCTATTCTCGTTGATCAGGTTCATTTGAAATCGCCAGCTAGAGTTCGCATACCCATACGATCCGCGTTTTTTTAAAGATATGTCATAGGCCAAATGGTACGAAAACAAAGATAAACCCTCTTTAAACAATACAAACTGTATCGGCTTCCAAGCGAGCATTCGCCACCGCTTAATCTCCGTGGATGTCACGCAACGCTGACTCCCCAAAGGTAAAGGATGTCACGCAACACGCCTCTCTTTTTGCGGCTCAAAAACGGTTCCGAAAGAGAGTATTCCCCCATTCTAGACTTCACAGATGTTCCCTCTGATTACGAGTGTGTGGATAGTGTATCATGAGATTGTGATATCGACTGATCATTTATGTACCAGTCCATGGACCAGTCAGTTCCAAAATTGCCTACCCCCCTCCCCCCCACTCCACCCCCGGCCGGGTTATCGCCAAACAGTGGAGAATTTGACCCAAAATGTTGAAAGGTGCTCTCTCTCATCCCATACATACATGCAAATAAAACACATATTTCCTTGGCCTTGATAAATTCAGGACCTGTTTATATGAAGTGAGCCATATAAAATTTATTATATGGGTGGTTTTCACGTTACATCATTGCCGCCATGCTGGTGGACGGTAAACAAAAGATTGCTCATTAGCTTGTTTTGTTTGTCCACCAGCATTTGTTCATTTCACCATTGTTATTTGTGTCTCCCGAGATTGCATGAAAACCACCTATAGATTTAGCCAGGGCTAAAAGCGAAGCTCTGATTAATAATACTTATAAACAAAAGAAATTAAATCATGTAATGCTAAATGGGGACGGCAATGAAAATGGCATCAAAATCAATAGATCTAATTTGCAAAAAAACAAATTGCATGTGCAGCACACTTTTTTTTCTAATTAGCAGAAAAACAAATTTGCAAGTGCAGCACGCTTTTTGTCTTTCTTTGCCGTAGTTTTGCACAACTACAATGTTGTTTTGTAGGAGTAAATTGTCAAACTTCCTAGTTACAGATTATTTTTATGGAGGAATTATCGTATGTGCTTACCCAATATTTTGTCTCCTGTGTTCATGTTCGCTTTTATTTTTCACTGCCCCTCATAATTTTTCACCTTGCTCCTTGCTGACTGCTAGCATTTCTCATTGTCTCAGCCGCTTTGAATTTTCATGTTTTTCTTCCTAGAAAATTCGTCTCTTTTGTTTTCAATCACTCATTCTGGCTCTTTCTTTGTTATCCACATGAATGGAAACGTCAAAAATAACATTGAAAAAGATACAACTTTGTTGTTGTTTTTTCTTTCTTAAAGTCCGGGCGGCCATGCGATTGCTATCCAAATAAAACCTTGAGTTGCATTTCAGTTGCCATACCTTTTGATTGAATTATTTTACATTGGTATGCCTGTGGTGCGGACAGACTCTTGGGAGGTCAGTCGGTCACCTCTGGTGCTCCGATGTGTGCGCTTCGCGCGCAAGAGCTCCACTATAATATGCAAAGTAGTTGGATGGTTTTACATGGTACTGAAGTATTTTTTTCTGCATTAATTTTTGTTCAGAGGGACAGAACAGAAAACATAGATTTTATTACCCGTGGGAAGAGAGCGATCTGGTACTGGTGGTGGAGCAGGAGAAGTTTCATGTCCATCGCTTAATACTTTGTATGAATTCCCCAGTATTCAAAGCCATGTTTACTGGTCAATTTAAAGAAGCAACATCCAGTGAAATTCCTTTGCCTGGGAAAAAGGCAAATGAAATTCTGGACTTTCTGCATCACATTTACTATCAGCACATCCAAGAACCAGTAGAAATTACGAGTAAGTTTCTTTTCAGCAGGAGTATTTTAAAATTATTACTTTAATTTTGACTTTTGTAACAACTCTAGTGTAAGGTTTGGCTGAGGTGGAAGTCCTCATAACTATTAACCTGGGAGTTAAGGACTTGTTTAAAAGGACATTAAAAAGTCGGCTTTGTAAGTAAATAATTTTTGGCTTTTAATTTTATTTTACGTAGTTTTTCTGATTGCTTTAATGGAATTGACACTGCAAAGTCAGCTTTTTTCTAGTAAATATTTTTAGGCCTTGAATTTTATTGTTAATAGTTTTATTAATTGTTTTATCAAAGCACCCAGGCTTGTCCTACCCAGTTCCCATATTTTGAATTGGGTTCTTTCGTTTATTTAAGGGGCCTTTTGCAATTGGTAGGTTTATTGCATTTCATAGTACATGCATTATTTACTAATTAGCTGTCACCCATTTAACCCTTGCCTACCAGAGCAAAATACACCCAGCAACCGGCTACCTTTCTCAAAGACCAGAGTTCGTTTTTTCAAGGCAACTCAAACAACTGGACTTTTAGTGATAATATTTCATTTGTCTGAGGAAGCATATTATAAGTCCTGGGTCTTGGAGTGACCTCACACAGGACGTATATATACGTCCTTGGTAGGCAAGTTGTTAAAGTTGGTTTGTCTTTTTCAGTGCACAATGTGGAGTACCTTCTCAAGTTAAGTGATGAGTACCAAGTTCAGCTTATCTTCAAACCATGTGTCAAGTTCCTTACTGATGTGCAAAAAACAAAAGAAAATGTGATGAAGTTATTGCTGTTGGCAGACCGTTATCACCTAGACAATATCCGCCAGGGATGTTGTGATAACCTCCTCAAAAATATGAAACTGAAGACAATGCTGGAAGCTGTAGATTTTCGAGATCTTTAAAAAGATACCCTTCAGTATGTCTTGTCAGAAAGAATCATACGGCTAGAAGTCTTCCTTGATTCCCTGTACCCTCAGTTCCTGGGATTAGTCGAGTGTTTGCTGTCAGCTTTTAGTGAACCGGGGAAGCACTATGATCAAGTAGATTGGTGCACGCGTCATTTTGATGATATTACTGGTAACTTTCTAAAGAAATTCAAAATCGATGATGCAAAGATAAGAGGGTGCCCTGGTTGTAGGAAAATGCTTTGTTCATTAGTTCAAGCCACCTCCAGTGAGGTAAGACCTACCCGATCAGGCCGATCTCGAGTGTACTGCTATGGTTCAGGAATTGACAGTCATCACTTTGATGAAAACTTGCTGGCCATCATAAATGATTTTGTCAAGCTGAAGCATGCAAGTTTAATAACCACTGACAAAGAACATCAATGAGTAGCCTTTGCTTGGCCTTGAGTGGAGGTTATTTCAACACAACATGTTGTTATGGTTGTTTTTGTCACCATAACATTATAACCAGTGAATAGGTAAATAACTCGTTATTTCAAAGATGATCTTTTGAGTACTTAAGTATTATTATTGGCAGACGTTTTGAAATGTATCAGAGCTGTTTAGAATTTCATTTTATATGGATAACTTAAGAAACAACATTTTAGGTTCCTTTGAATTTGTATTAAATAAAGTTTGTGTTTGGTCTAAACAAGAACATCAAACAAACCTTGGTTCATACTAACAGATGAATAACACTTTACTTTGATTTTTAAGTGTTATGCTGTTGGATATCAATTTTGAAATATATTATCACAACATTTTATTATAGAAGTGATAACAGGAGAGGGGTACTCCCATATAATTTTTTCAAATATAATTATGAGCAACATGGGTATTTTCCGCTCAATATGGTATGCTTTTTTCCTTTCTGATTCTGGAACAGGGTATAAAAACCACTCTTTTACTTTATCTCTGGAAGAGGGGTATATTTTACTTCATAATTTTCAGTCTGTTGTAGGGTCGATTTTTCCCCCATAATCCTAGCCTGCGTAGCTGGCAGTATTGTGTACTAGTAGAGTGAGATTTCAAACACCTCATCCCCATTCCTTTTTTGGATCACCGCTCCGCTGTCAAAACTTTAATCATGCACCAACACAATACCACCAGCTACACAGGCTATATCCATAATCCCTGATTATTCCAATTCAACCCTAAATGCAAAACTATGTTCCCCTCGTTTTATCATTGAGCTGGCGCACAGGATCAGGATTCCTATTTTTTGAGGAGCTCTCCAGCAGAGCACCATGTGTACCTTATGTGTACTAAAAGAAGAGGTAATGTAAAAATATATATTTTATACTAAGGTCATGGAGGGCAATAACAAACAAACAAAAAAACTTCAATACAGTGGTAAGGCCTTTAATGCTCACAAGGTTTTTTGTTGCTATAAATGTCTCAGTCTTTCAAACTTCACATTTATTGATGAACAAAATTAATATTAAGACAGACATTTCTTTTGTTACCCAACAAGTTCATTTATGTTTCAAGGACTGGGCTTCAGTCATAAAAATAAAAAATGAATTAGACTGACTTATAAGGTAAAGTAGTTAAAAAAAATCATTGAGTTGCCACTAAAAGCTAATCAACAACATTACTGAGACCCAGTTCCAGAACAGCCAATTAGCACTAACCCAGGATTAGAGTCAATTTCTAGTAACAACTACATTAATAATTTTATGTTCTGGCAGATTGGTTGGAAAAATCACTTTGTTATCATAGTTGGATCTTAGAGTCAAGACTCAACACTATTAATAAAGGTCAAGTGAGATTTTACTGTACAAGAGAGCTTTGTGAAAATTTATCTTAACCCTGGGTTCAACCATCTCAGTTTCATAAAAGCAGGTCCTGCAGTAAAAAAAAACTACACTGTAATAAACTAGATAGTTAGGAAAGATAAATTGCTGCTCAGAACTAATTTCCAGGTAAGAGCATAGTTAAGGTGTCTCAAACACCCATTCATAGCAGTATGTAAAAGAGGGTCTCTAATAACACGGACATGATTATTAATAGATGTAATATACTTTCATTAAACTCTATAATTAACCTTGATCAATAATTTATTTATTTATTATATGGCTACAATAGTATGCACACTCTGACTGGCTGCTGAGCAGGCAAGGTTTTCTTGTAATGGTCGGGTATTATGAAAATTTTTCTTGACTCGGCTTTTTGCGTTGTGAGTAAAAGCTACGAGCGCAGGGAGGAGACAAAAAAAAATACTGGCATACCGACCCTTCTTTAGCACAAGCGATGAAGAGACACAGCAACAGCAAGATTTTTTATTGTACAGTGAAACCCTGCCTTACGGCAACTTTGGTAATACAGTCACCTCATTATTACAACCACTTTTTTAGGCCGCCTAGCAAAACAGCTATACATCTTCTTGTAAAAAACCGTCCTTAATACGGTCAAAGTTTTTGGGCCTGTTGGTGACTGTATTAACAGGGTTCTACTGTATTATTTTTTTAAGAATAGCTCCTAAAAGGCCGCCATATAATAAATAACTTGATAACCTCATCTGTTTGGTCATTGCAGCAAAATCTCAGACCTTGGCCTTGGTGTATTGACCTCACAAGGCCTCAGTCTGAGATTTCCCTGTAATGACCTCACTTGTGGCTAATAAATGGTATGTGACATACCTTTACATTATCATTATTTTGAGTATGGTATATAGTTTTAACTAAAAGTGTTTTGCTTGGTTTAAAAACAAAACAATGTAGCCTCTTCATTATATAAAATGAGAAATGGACATCATAATACATTAACCATAAAAATTTACAGTATTTTCTCAAAACCTTTGTTATAAGCTCTTTACAACTTAAGAAAGCTTTTGAAAATTCAAGGAATCCAGTTTTTGAGCAGGTCACAAATTTTGAAGTAAGTGTAAACTATGCCTGTTACATAAAGCCTCACATAAACTTTGGAGAGATGTGCACTTGAGCATTGAGGGAGGTTGAAAATGTTACCAGGCCCATGAATAAGTGTTTTGAAAAATAAACTGATTTTTGACTGTGTTCTTGTTCATCAAGTTGAAAGTGAATTTTCTGTAACTAAGAATTGAAAGTGGGCCCTCTTTCATCAACTATTTACATATACGTCGCAAGAGAGGCCAACATCAATTTTGTCCTCAGAATATTCATACATAGAAAAAGAGAAAAGGTTATCAGAATCAACAAAATGATCACCTAAGGAAATTGCTTTGATCTTTTATCAAATTCTCTCTCAACGTATTATTTAAGGGAATGCGAGGAGGCATCAATCTGGATCTAACTTATAACTAAGATGATTCTGCCCAGAACACATATGCAAAATAATGTAATAAAAAGCACTTTATGATTGGCCAAGAAAATCCAGTCACCATCAGCCAATCAGAAAGTTGGAAAGTAGCAGGTTACTAAGAATGAGGGATGGTGCTCCATGATTGGTGGGTTGGGATGCACATTACTATGTGTTTAAAGCTTTTGGGGGTTTGGAAAGTGGGCAGTACTGACTTAAGGGCAGAACAAACAAAGTGACAAGTTGCAGCAACAAATTGCTTTGGGGTACCGGAGAACTTTTGTGAAAATCTGTCTTGGCAACAGAATTTTTTCTTCTCATCAAGTAGCACAAAATTAAATCAGACTGAATTTGTGCGACTTGTTGTGGTGAAAAAAATTCTCCAGCACACACTGAGCAATTTGTTGCTGCGACTTATCGCCCAGCCTGTACACACAGAGTGATTTGTCGCTGCCATGTGCTACAGTGACATGTCACCTAGTGTGTTCCGACCTTTAAGTTATACCCTGGCCGTTATGAACCCCAGATCAGGGAACTAACTCATAATGCATAAGCCATCTTTAAGTTCTATTCCTTAAGCATAAGCTTTGATATTTTTATCAAAGATGGGGATACAATGCTCCTCCAAGTATCTAGCTGTCATAACTGACTGTTCATCAGTGGGACACCAAACAACTTGTTTCAGCTTCATTGGTTTTGGCACAAGGAATCTCCATACAAACAGTCCTTAAAAATATGATAAAACAACCCAGTTTCTAACATCTGTATAAAAATGCACCTTTTTCAGAGGGTACTTTCTTGATCAGAGCTTTTGCTTTGTTTGGCTGCTGGTTCGGGATCAACACCTTGTAGAACAGCCAGGTTTTTCTGCATTTCATCCTCTTCTTTTGTGAACTGCTCCAAACTATTTTCCAAAGCTTGAACAGCCTGGTTCTCATGCCATATTTCTTTCTGCAATTCTTGGAGCTCTCTCTCCATCTTTCGCATGACCTCCCTCTTCTTTGACATTATTTCTGTTAACTCCCTGGTCTTCTTTTTGTGTTTGAGGATGTCTTCTTCAACCTCATTCCTTCCTTTTACGGCCAATTCTAACCTCTCAGAGTAATCCTCTTTTAACGCGTCAATGATCTTGCGTTTAGTGTTTGGTCGCAGTGTTGCCTGTGATGGATTTGCTAACACTGGAGAAAGCATGGCATCAAGAGGGCTAACAGATCCAAGTTCCTCCTTTTGTAAAGGTGTGGCTGAAAGGGGTGTAGAATAGGACCATGGAGCACTATCCATCGCAGAATCTATTGTGGATGTAGTTGGTGAAGGCTGTATTATTCTTGCATCTGAAGACCGCCTCGGTGACTCTGGCTTTGAAGGCTGGGCATCTATAACAAAATCCTCAGTCAAAATATGTGACAAGGTATAGCACTGTAGAATAAATCTATGACAAGTTTTTTGGGTAATCAGTTATTGATTGCTTGGGTTAATCCAATTTATTATTTTGGTGGTCAATTACAAAATTTGAGTTAAAATCCAGGAAACAGGAATACAATTTAGCTTGAGAAAACAGCTGACATGTTGCGACGCCATCACTGGTTTCCCCACAAAATGACATTTGAGAAACAACTGTAGAAATTCTGTACTAATAACACATCATTACCCAGATGGTTAGTGTTTCTTATTCGTTGAAGCAAATTTTCAGCCAATCAGAAGCAATACCCAGATCTGCGTACATGCGTTATCAGTATGAAATATCTGCACTTGTTTCCCAGACATCATTTCGTTGGAAAACCAGTAGTGGCGTCACAACATGTCAGCTGTTTTCTCTGGCTAAAATGCAAAAGCAACTGAGAAGCACTGTACCTTCTTTTCTCTTTGAAGTTGGAGTGGTTTCCAGAGCAGAGTGGACAGTTTCACTTGTGTAAGCAACATTTGCAATTTCCCTTTGCTTGACTGAACGTCGTTGAGAACGAACGCAATCTGGCCAACAGGACTCAGGAATACATTCCTTTGCACAGTCAATTAAAATGCCCAGTGGAAATTTGGACAGTACCTTGGAGATACAAGCTGCTGCAATGTGATGCTCTTTGCACAAAACTTGTAGAAATGTTTCTCCACAGTTGTTCTTTACCATCAGAACTTTCTTTGCAATAGTTAGGTCTACTTTGTGATTTACTATACTGGACTCGTGAAGTTTTTGAATCATGACTCCAATACAACCCATGTGAAAATCAGCTCGGTGTTGTTGTTTGTTCGCTTTCATAGCATTGCAGACTCCTGAAGAGTTGTTCAATGATTTGCCCATCTGAGAATTGCTCCCACCACATTCCTGAGTAGAATCAGGAATTTCTGATGCTGTAATGACCTGTTGCATAGTGTCATGAACAGATGTGTCAATCACAAACTTGGCTGCCACTAGGAAGGGTGTGTCACCATTTCGGTCTTGTTGTGACAGGACCTCGACAGCATTAAGCCCATTTGTGAGAGAATTCAACACCTTCGAAAATACCTTCTCTCCATAGGTAGTGTTCATGAAGGTTGTACCCTTGTAGACCTTCATACCTTCATAGTTATGTCTCAAAACTGAATGCAAGGGAAAATCACCAGTTTTTTGTGAAAGCACATTCAAATCAAAACCAAAATATGACAAGGTTTCTATGGCACAATACTTGAAAAAAATGCCAGCAAGGTGAACAAGGGGTAATTGCAATTTCTCTAATCCATCTAAAACATCAGCATTCTTGTTGAAACCCTCAATAAGGTTCTTCCTTATGCAGTGGGCAAAATTGGATCTGGTGTACTGGGATTGATGAAATCTATTTTTTCTGTAGTTGGTTCTGTTTGAGTGACCGCACAGTGTTAGGACAAGATGATGGTGTTCAATGATGCACTTTGAACTGCACATGGGAGTGTGCCATTTATCTGAAAGGAAAGAGATCATCTGCCATTAAGTGTGAATTTGCATTGCATTTTTTTGACATAAAAAAACCCTGTTAAACACCATTATATAAAATGGTTAAGATAATGGGGTCAAGAAGGCCCCGATTACTAGAATTTATGTTGGTTGCTGAAGAGTGAAGAGAACATTTTCATACATTTAAGATTTGAATTGCACTTTCTTGTTGATCAGAGAGTCTTGAATCCAACAACACTGGAGTTTTACTTCTGAAGATCTGTGAACGTTTTGAAGTTACCAATTTTGATCACCTGAGTTACAGTCTGTATCATGTTACTTTGCGACATTAATTTGCATTGCATGGCCCACAAGATTTTGGGAAAACTAATTAATTTTTGTTCAACTTGAGTGGTACACACTACCCCAGTGTTGGTGACTTAGTGCATATTAAATTATTTACATCCACTTCAGTAGAGGTAAACAGGTAAAGGTAAAGCAACCATATTTTACATCAATAACTCATGACAGAAATAATAACTGATACACTTGAGGTCGACAGGGCGCTCATTTTACACCCACCCCCCGCCCCAAGATGGACTAAGATGAGGCAAGTTTTTTCGAATTGTTTCCGTTCCCATACGAGCCCTATAAATCACCTCATTACACAAAATTGCCACATGCAAGGCTGTGCTCTAACGGCGCCCGGTTGCCTGAGGAGACTAACATTTAGCTTTGGGCAACTGAAAAAAAGTTCCCAGTCGCCCGGCCGGGCACTCTTGCTTCTGATGCAGTGTTCAGTTAATCGGGCAGAAAAATTTAACATACTAGTGTTGGCTTGTTGAGTCAGAGTTTACTAAACCCTACAGAAAATGTCTTTACGAATGTTGTATGAAAGAAACGGGCGCGCATCGATGTTCAAAGGTCGTTTTGCATGATTTCACAAGTAACATAATCCATCACTTTGAACGTGACAAGCGGCACGGATTTCGATTTGTACCATCTCTAAAGTAGTTTTAAAATTTTTTGTTTCAGATGGAATGGTTCATTAAGTACAGTTTTTAGGAGAAACTGTCAATACTTTTCTGACAGACGTAGAGCGCGGCTTGCAACGCAGAGCAATTTATTTTTGTATAAAACGACAATAAAAGTTGCTGTATTGACCAGTATGCAAATGTAATGTTTTTACGGTTTTTGGCTGCTGTGTCTGCTTGGCTAAACATAACTTATGATTGTTTTCTTCCCTTTACATAAAATAATGAAATATAAAAAGAAAAGATATGATCGTTCTGATCGTTTTTATTGTTTTTTAGAAACAGGGCAGTTCCACGTTGTCTTGGCATTTTATGTATCGAAAACTAAATTCGCATACATGCATATATAGGCTGAATTTAGCAGCTAAAAAATAAAAAATAAAAACATGGAAAGAAGAGCTGGTTTACGCTTCCACCGTACCCACGAAAAGCTCAATTATCCTAAAAGATTCACTGATAATATAGAAAAGAAAATTAAAGAGGACTCATTTTTTATTAAAACAATAGGTTTGGGGCTGCGGCGGTTTCCCTGTTTCACGGAATTTTTCAAGGGAACTTGAGTTTGATCTGCCAAGTATAAAACTCCATTACATTATATTTCATGCCGCATTGATTCACCTTTTGAAAATTTATTTTCAAGTATAGTATTACTGATAAAAAGCACAGTTTTCCTATGTTTGACCCAAAGATCTTAATGAAGTTTACGTAAACCTGCTGAAATTTTTTACTTTTCCGTCTTTAAAACCTAAACAAATCAGCGACATTGCTCACGTCTCTGGTTTTAAATCTGAATGGCACAAAAACTTTGATGGGTGTCATAAGACAACATGCGGGTTTTTGTCGAACCGAAAAGCTAAAATTACCGAGTTTGGTGATCACCAGGCCAGTAAGATTCATGTGCGTACAAGATACTTCCTCATCAGATGTACTTGGGCGACCAACTTGAGAGGCCTGGGCACCCCAGCTGGAATGCTTGGGAGCCCGAAGGGCTCCCCAAAATTTTTATTCGGGCAACCAACTTTGGGGTCTGGGCGCCTTAACTAAAATGCTTTGGAGCCCGAAGGGCTCCCTGAAATTTTCCTTAGAGCACCGCCTTACAGATGTATTAATTTTTAACATGCCTGTGGTTCTACACTTATAAAACATGACAGGGTCAGATTTTGGTAACATACTGTCAGTAGTATACTGTTTCTCAAAACTTGCAAAGCAAATTAAGTTTTAGATTTGATTCTGTCGGATGTTGCATTTCAAGCACCTTTGACTATCCAGGGCTGCAAAAATAATATTTTTCTCTTGAAAGGACATATGTCCTATTAAGACACAATGTTGGGGACAAAACAAAATTTTGGTCAGACATTAAAAAAAAAAGGCTGAACTTTATATCACATAACACAAAAGACATATAGTAGAACCTCGATACCTTAAACTCAGATAACTCGAACTTCCCCCTAACTCAAAATAAATGTCCTTTCCCTTGATCAAAATTTGACTGAAATTTGCCTCGAGGACTCGAATTCCCTGCTAACTCGAACTGTTTTTTGTTTCCCTTCAGAGTTTGAGTTACTGGGCTCTACTGTACTATGCTAATGTACAACAAAACTTTATTACCCAAGTCAATGTTGTTTTGGGACATTGAGATCATCCAAAGACAGAGTAACATTTACTCAAGGTAGATTTTTATTCTTCCTTACCATAAAATGATTCACCACGTGGTTCCAGAAAATATCCATACCCCCCCCACCCCCACAGAAGACTCTTTGATTTGCACCCCCCCCAACAGCCTCTCCCCAAGAATTTCTAGAATTCTTAAATGGGGACTCCTTACCACCCTCGAAAATTCAAAGTGGTTTTTGTGAATACTAACTCAGTTACAAAAATATGGTAGAATTTTATTACAATAGTGTAAACTTTTGTTAAGCTCATTATTCAGCTAAATGTTACGCTTCTTTACCATCAAGTTTGCAAATTATGTCTGTGTTGTTTTTATGTAAGCTTATAAGCTTAAACATTTGAGTTGCAAAGCTTGAAATGTTAATTGTTCTACCTTTTTTTGCTTACTCTGAAGCGAATGTTATGAAGAAAACTTAAGGTTTACTCACTTAATTAAACAACTTTGCAAACAATGGCAAAAAACCCCAGAAACTTACAAGGTTCCTTTTTTGGCTGTTTATTTGTTAATACATTTTGTCCGTTTCTTCAGGCTGATTCTTACTTAAGGATCCAATTTAAACTTAACTAACACATGCCGCAACGTGCTAGGTTACATGAACACTGTCACGATTGCAGAAGTAATTTTATACTAGCCAAGTAGCCGGGCCTTCTGAAGGTTGAGTAAGAAACTGGAACGAAAGTACTCTCGTCTCATCACATTTTTTATGAGTTACTACCCCCTAAAAACACTGATAAAACACGAAACCTTTAAAAAATATGTTTCCTGCATGTGAAGGTAGCGAAAAGTGATACTCAGTGAACAGAAGGGTAGGTCAGACGAAAACGAGGCGAAGCTGAATGTCTGGGGACAAGACTCCAGTTAACTCTGCCATTTTAAATCGTTTCGACTTTGTTCCAAAGATTGTAGAGCTAGCTAACTATAAGAAAACCATAAACATTAGAGCTAATGATGTTAACCTCATCTCAATGGCCCGGAATACTGACTTTTGTTTCAAAACAACGTACATAAGTATGTTTTTGTGCTTCAGATCGATCATACATTGCTTTCATCGAATGTTTTGTAATTGGTTCATTACCCTTTGGAAAAGTAGTTTCCCCATGGACCCCCCCCCCCCTCGGAATTTCTAATGAATTTCCGTGGGGCAGGGGGTATGGATATTTTCTGGAACCACACAATTTAAATATAGGGAGGAATCAGTTTGGCTAGAACCCAGGACAGAGAAACTAACCTATGGTATAAGATGTGCTTGTGTCTGCATTTAGTTGAAGTGATTCTTCAATGGTTGAGCTTTCTATCCTATTCCTATCCATTGATTGTAGCAGAAAGTGATCTCTGGAGGTATCATCAATACTCCCTCTTAAATTCTGTGAAGTACTGTCTACAGACTGTGTATTTTGCAATGATCCTGATCCTGTAGAGTGGGTGGGGACAGGAGTCTGGTGTGCATTGACTATTTCCACGGGAGTTACTCTAAAAGACTGGGGAACCAATGGGAGCATTTGCTGACCAACACCTCTTCCAGTTGCTTGCACTGATAAACGGTTGGGACCTATGGTTGTAACAGTAGAGGCAGGATGAAAGATGGACCTCTTCTGTCCCTGTGGGAAGCCAACAACCTGGTTGTTGACAGAATAAAAGCATTGGGCATCAGGCTGCAAATCAAGGGGCTCGTCCTTGATGAAGATCACTGGTATGTGCTGTGCAGGAGGTGCAACAGCGGAGATTTGCTGGGAAGGGTTACCTGTCAAGATGGAGGAGTCCATGAGTTTGCATTGAGCTTAACCCTTTGAAGCCAAGAATATCAAATAACAAAATTCCAGAAAAAAAAAATTAATTCCAAACTTCATTTTGCAAAATGTTCTCTAGGAGTGATCAATTGGAGATAGTTTGTGATGAGAATAAGGTTTAACTATGACATAATATTCATAGCTTTGTAGCTCAAAATATGACTTAAAGTTCAACAAATCCCCAGGGAAAGGAAGGTGAGGGTTGGGTGGGGAACACTGTGGATTCCAAGTGATTGGAATTGAGACCTTTAAAAACTCTTGAAAAAAAAAACCTAAACAGCGATAACAAAATTAATAAATAGATAACAAAAAATAATAATCTTTTTTTTTTTTAAAAAAGAAATAAAACTTGTGCTAAAGGTACTAGTTAAAATAATATTATGTGACTAAATGTAATTTAGGCGAAGTTAACCTCGAAGCAATGCTGGTCAGCAGTTCAACATCTCGTCTCACATCTCGCCTCACTTTGCCGAATTTGTGGGGATAAAATTAAAGATCATAAGCGCAACTCCAAGGTAGATACTAACTGCCTTGTTTCTGAAATTCACCAAATCTGAAAAGATTTATTTACTGTTGGATTCTCCAAACGTTCATCCACAGTTTAAAAAAAATCAAAGAAAGAAGGCAAATTTCAACTGTCAAAGATGTATTTCGCTACTCATTGAACACTGATAATCTGGGTTGGATTTTAACCTTGCAGGTACCACAGCAAGCAAAGAAAGCACCAGATGCATGAAGTCCATGTGTGCTGGCAACACGAAACAAGAAAAATTATTAAATTTGAACTACTTTTTAACTCTTGTTATAATGACTTGGTCTTTGATTCTCATCCTGTAGAAGTTAATAGGTGGTACCATTCCTGTTTTGTATGATTTCAAGAAATTTTCATGCATTCTCTACAGCTATTTTTAGTCGGGATCGGTTTTATTCTATCAAAAATCTTGCAAGCCATGCCACTGAAGCCACGACCTCTGCGATCAGTCTGGAACATTCAAACACCCCAATGATTCCTAGCAATGAATAATACTCTTATTCTCTTAGATCAAATGGTTCCTTTGAAATAATGTGAAACCTAGACGACTACTGTCAGCATCTCTTAAAAGGAAGATGAAATAACAATGCTCTTTCTGCCTCCCTCCGCCATTGTGAAAAATTTTTGAGCACCTGGTTGATGTTTTGGTAAACAAAATTGCGCCTTCTCATTGGTTGAACAGTGTCGCATGACCAGTTTGCCCCGTCCCTAAATTTAGGGATATTCCGGACTGAAGATCAGTTTTAAAATGTCATATACACTTTCAATCTGCACTAGCCCCTCCCTCACACTCAAACAACACATGTGATAGATATATTCTGTGTATGTATCTGTCTACAACATACCTGTCAATGCAGGTTGTCCTGAAAACTGAATGCTTTGGACCTGAGCTTGTGGTCGTGTAGGTGACATAGGGTTGTGTACCACACCAGTAACGGAAGGAGACTCAACTGGAATCACTTGAGGTGGAACAGGCTGATATTGCAGTATATTGGTGTTCCTGACCTCCATAGTTGAAGGCAGACTTGATGGTGATGAGACAAGATCTTGCACAGGACAACCACCTTCTGAAAGGTGACAACATAATAATATTAATCGATGGATACATTGCACACTTCTTTTCCTGCCAGGTTCTTCACTCAGACACGAGACAGTAGGGAGATTTATACATTGTTTGATAAATTTGTAAGAACAAAAGCAACACATTCCCCTCATTTAAACAATTGGGAAAGTGTCTCAAACAGTGGACTGAATGACTAATTATCAGTACAATGAAAGGCAAATGATGTGCAATAAAAGTTCATGTATTTTATTGTTATTTTTGTTGTTAAAAGAGAAACGTAATGAGCAAAAAAAAACTTTAATAGTCCATGTGCGATATATTAAATTCTAACATGACTCTGAGGCTTTCTGGTCATTTTTCTTTACTTGGTTTGGTTTTCTTTGTGTTCAAGTCTTTTCTGGGAATTGCAAGACAATAAAGCCATGAAAAATTTGCAATTTTGCCCTGAAAGCCTCGGAGTCATGTTAGAATTTTAATATATCAAACATGGCTGGGCTATTCCAGCTTACCTTTGGGTAAGCAGCTCTCATATTTTGCTTGCCCAGGGCTATTGCTTGCTAGACTTTGGTAACAATTTAATTTCAAGATATCTTGCCTAGAGCCCTGCCCATTGGGCAACTTCTCACGGACAATCAGATTTACAAAGTGCTGTAATGTAAAAGACCAGTAAAGAAGATGCTCTGAACAGGAAGGATACTAAATCTTGAATTGCTGGCTTGAAAGCCATAACTCTCATTACATGTCAAGAAGAATAAATAATATTTTTCCCACATTTACTCATAACAACTCAACAGAGAGCTTCCTTTTGTTCTACAAAACTACATGTATTAGTAAAAGGAGGAAAATAAAGTGCCAGATCTTGTTTTAGAACAATATAACCTTACTGCTCAATACAAAGAATAACATTCTTCTAAGGATAGGTGCAATACACTTTACTCAAACCATGGTTGAAATATGAGCTCTCCCACTAACCAGATGCAAGTACAACCTCATCTCATTGTTGAGTAAGCTCTTATTTTACAGTTTGTCCTTGCTGAGTTTTGGGATGTAAAAACTATTCTGGCCAGAGGTTATGGAAGTTCCCACACCTGTCAGGGGAAGTGGTGGGTGTACATGTACTGTACACTTAAAAAAAAAGCTTAATTAACTGGCTGTGATCATTTGCACACTTCACATTGAAGTCAACACTTGCGAAAGCAACAAACCTTCTGTCTCAAAAGACTGTATTTGACAGCTGCGGCTTTGTGATTTAGATTGTTCAAAACAAAATGGCAGCAGCTCCCTGGCTTGGAGACTGAAAACCTGAAGCATCACTTTGTCAGGACATGCATCTAGAAGATCCAAGAATGTTCTAGAGTTGTTATTTTTGTCATAGACAAATTTTCCAATCACCTCCTTGGAAACTTTTTCTCTCACTATGAGATCAGCAATTGTCTCTAAGAAAAGCTTAATGGCTTCGAAATAGCAGCGTTTCTGTGTGACCAAAGTCTTCCGATGGCTTCCATTTAAGCCACGGCTTCCGCTGACAAGAGCTGATGTTGTACAGAAGCAATCAGCCAATACGTGCAGCACTGTATCTCCATTAGCATCAGCCATGAATAACATGTCATTGTTGTTATCAGTAAATAAGTCAAGGATGCCCTGAAACTTGGCAATTATCTTGTGGGAACTTGTGAATTTGCCATCTGAGTAGGCAACCGGAAAATACCGAGCAGCAACATGGAGAGGTGTCTCTTTACTTTGATGAGACACAGAATAACTGAACTTCATTTCCTCAATGACTTTGGCAGCAGCAATGCAGTTTCCACTCAGGCAGATTAAGTGCAACAATGGGTACTGCAAGCAACTCAGTGGATCTGGAACAATCATGTCACGTTCCCACCCTGCATTTAAACAAGCTTGAATGCACAGCTTAAAGGTCACTGGCACACAGTGGTCACTGTATGCACGGAACATGACTGAGGAACTGAAGACAGCACTTGTTAACAAATGATGGCGCAGATCACAGCCAGTTGGACAAAGAGGTGTATGGGTATTTACAAGGGTGCCAACGGCATCCATGGTTTCACAGCAATCAGCAGAGCACAAACCTGGGAACAACTCTGTGTGTATTGCGCATCTGTTGACAGAGCTATTAGCAATGGCTGTTTCAACACCAACTACACTCTTTCCCGCTGAATTACTTGATGTAACATTTGGGCCACTGGTATGAAGAACCTCTAAAAGATTCAATTGCTTGCCTGCCGTGTTCTGATAACTTTTGCTGACAACTTTATAAGCTCTTTTCTTCACTAAAACAGAGAGAGAAACATAAACAAGATGAAAACATAGCAGACTGGCCATGATACCATCATAACAACCTCTTTTTATGGGGAGAAAACAGTCTTGTACAGACTGAGCTTGACCTCCAGTGTAAACAGACTTTGACAAGTAAACAAACTCCAGAATCCATTCAGCTTCAAGAGAGTCCAGAAAAGGGTGCTTCAATAGCTTGACTAACAGTGTTCTTTAATCTCATAGTCTGGACCAAACTAACGTTAAACCATAAAATCACAAAGTCCTGCTCATAATTATTCATATTGCAATCCTGAATCTTGCTTTCCTTTAATCTGAAATCCAGAACCCTAGCCAAGTAAATGCCAGATTCTGAAAGAGCCTATTAGGAACCCGCTCTATCACCAACCACAACCCCAACACACAACAACAATTTCTACTCCTTTTTAGTTATGCAATCAACATTGCTCTTATCGATCTAGTTCTATCTTATCACTTTTATTTATTAAATTTTAATCTGTGGTTATTGTTTTAATTTGTAAACTCTTAGCAATGTTGTAGCTGTTCGGTTCTCTGAGACCCACATTTACAGAAGCACCATTAATCTATCAATCCTTTAAATCAATAATTCACTCGATACAACTGCTGGTAGATACTTTGGTCAGCAATTGCCTATAATATTGCGTGTACATGTAGGTCAGTCATGTTTGTTCCTGTTGTGGATGTAAGTTCAGTACCAGGGGCAGACAGAGGATTTTGCGATAGATGGGGGCCTAGAGATACAGTGGCAATATGGGCATGATAGCGCCCATCAGGACTGCAACCAGCGCCCTTTTCTAGGGAGTTTCGGGCGCATGCTCCTCTGGGAAAATGTTTGTGATTGAAGTTTTCTGAGGTGCAATCTAGTGCTTTCTGGATGTTTAAATTTAGCAAATGCCTGGATTCCATATTGAACATGTAATGCTGAAATATTTAATAAACCACAAAAAAGGGGGAGGGGGGGCAGGGCCCACCCCTAAATCTGCCCTTGAATACTGGCCTCTAGACTTACATGTATGTGTCATAGTACAAGGGAGAAATGTCCTTTACCACCAGGAAACTACATGATGCTTACAGCCAAAATTCACTGTACCATGCTGCATGTTTTGCCTACGATTGCTATGAGATGGGGCGTTTTCTTTCACACCCCACTCAACTTGTTTGCCTTCAACAAGCTTTCAGCAACTTCAGCATAGTTTCATGATCCATTCGAAATAGAAATGTTAATACTGTAAATCTAGGAATTAGGAGCAGTACACCTACCTTCCTCATCAATGAGCAAGTCTTTTTCATGGCCAGGGTAAACTTGATTAACAATATCAATCGCTGAAAGCCCACTTGAATTTTTGATTTTCAGCAGGTCATTGTTACCTAAGGACTTGACCAAGAATCTAAGCACCAGAAACCCATGCCTAAATGCCTGAGCCAGGTAATGCAAAGCAGTATTACCCTCAGAGTTTTTTATGCTTAGAGCGTGTTTTACATCTCTTCTGTTTAGCCTTGTTTTCTCCTCGGCCAGCATAAGTTTCAGGGTCACATCAAGACTGTTTGAAAAAAATGACAAACATACATCCTCCTTTTCCAGTTCCCCGTCGACAAAGCCTGAGGAAGCTTGCAGTAGTTGCTTGGCTAAAATGTGAAAAGGGGTTTCACGGTTCACTTCATCCTTGGCCCAGAAAAGGCTTACTTCTTTCTCGATCAAGAGGGAAACAACTCTCTCAAAATTAGCCACTTTGGCAGTGATGCTCATGTTTTCAAGGCGAGATCCAGATGGAGACAATGCCGTGTAAAGGTGGCGAGCAACAAGATGCAAAGCCGTTTCGCCTGAAATAGACGTTTGAAGTTTTGCATCGTAACCTTCTTCATTCAATAGCCATTCCACAACCTCGTGCTTTCCAAACATACTCGCTAAGTGCAGAAGAGGAAGCTTTAAAAGTTGAAATGGTTCAGGAACTTCCTTATCTTTGGACCATCCTTCAGAAACAAGCTTTTGGACATGTTTTTTGAAGTCCTCCTTGTTGTTTCCACGCGTGGCCCGAACAGGGCCGGGAAAAGAGTCATTCCAGCCAGACGAGTTAAATCTGGGGGCGACAGCTTGAAGCGAAGTAACAACATCGTGGTGTTTGAAATTACAATCTTTCGAGCACAACGGTGTATGGCTCATTTTTTAATTTAACAACGGGAAAATTTTGATGTAACAATATAGTTCAATCTTCCATGCCACTGTCCATTTCAACGATCTCCAGTTTCGCAATTCCCCGACACGGGTGCCAGCTTGTCTGTTCCAAAAATCGAAATGATTTTCACCACACCTCAACTAAATAATCCGCAAACGACTGAGAAAAAAACGCGTCAAACTTACGAGGGATTTTGAAATAAAGAAAAGATCTTCAGTTGATTCCACGGAGAACGAAAGCCACTTTACCCGCAAGGTACTACGGGAATGTACACCGCCCGCGCGCGGGAAACGACTCATAGACAAGAAATAAGAATCGAACGGGATTTCTTGGGGGATTTCTGTCGTCAAAACTTACCATCTTTACGCACTGCGGTGAGAAAAAAATGAAATTAGATGACTAATAACTGCGTCCTCGATTTTATTCCTGAACTTTGAGTTTTAGACACGAACTGGAGACCATAAATATCAGATACTCGAGCGGTGACGCGCAGTCAAAATTGACAATGCTTTCCCTTTTATTTACCGACAATTTCGATCCCTTCACAGTCCTTTCAAGTTCAGTCTCACTACCCTTAATTGAAAAATGAATGCACATTGTCTCGCTGTTTGCCAAAACCCAACAATGCATTTTTGTGGACGATTCCAAACCTAAAAATGTTGAATATTCCTGTCAAATTATACATGCGAAAAACTGCGCTGCTTCGCGAAAAGTATAAAGCTTGAGATGAAATTACAAAGAGGGGTCTAAGAGGGACGAAATAAAGTGTCATCATACGCTTACCTTCGTTAGACGCTAACTACTCACGTCTCTCGTGTGAGAGACAGACAAAATATTTCGCCCTCGATCGGGTCGCTCTCAAAACAAGTGGTCACGCTCGAACGCCGGATAGGGCAGAAAATCGATCGGTTAGGTCAACTTCGGGTGATCTCGGAGACCCATCGACAGCTGATCGGGAGGGGGGATCTTCTGATAAATTATTAAATTTTCAAGATAGACTTTTTGGCGCAAAACGGCAACCCAGATCCTTTGCAATAATAAACGATGAGAGGTGGTAAATATTTAATAAACACACCAAGGTTTTCCTTGAACAAACTGAAACTTTATCTTGGTAAGATATGTGCGTGAAAAACTATTATGTACGACCAGGCATTCCTTTTTTTCGTGGGACCATAGGGTAAAGGCAAAGAAGGACCGCCTCATTGCAGGTTAATGAAACTGTAACATTACAACTACAGCTTATGAGGCTTATCACCTTGTCGTGAGTAGCTGTTCTTTGTTTCGTCACGCAAACTCCTCCATGGAGAAAAGAAGCGCTGCGTGACGAGACGATTATCTGTCCGCTTCGCGGCATTTACAAAGAGTGCGGTAATAGAGCAAATTGTACACGAAGAAAGAACCTTACAAGCACAGGGGATCCAACGTAGACTTTTTCAGTGTGTCTTCACGCGAAACTGTTTTCTGGGAGCTCAGGAGATCACCCAGCGTTTTTGCAAAATGAAGGAAATGGAAGGCGCTCTGCAAACCATCAGAAATGAGCTGGTCATTCGCCGGTCATTGAAATGATAGACTGCAAAACAGTCGGTTTTTTTCTCTCACGCGCGCGACCCTCACGCCTGTATCGGTCGTTGCGCCCGTGTGAGGCGAGAGCACTCCCCAGTCTCTCTCTCAGTTTTCAGCCTTGCTCGAAGCCTCACCAGGGCCGTAGCGCATAACGTGGAGCGAGCAACTTCCATGTACTCGTGTCAAGGGCGTTTTTACAGACCAGTTTATTTTTAGAACGGTTTTGGCGCGAATTTAGAATATCTTCAAGGTCCCAAAAACCGGTCAGCAAACCTACAGACCAACAAATGATAATTTCTGCCTTTTAATTATAATGACGTTACGTTTTCCTTTTTGATGTCTTATACTTCGAATGCGTGCATACACGTGACAGAGATTCCATTTTCGAGGGAAAAAGTGTCCCAAAATGTGTTTAAAAATAAACCGGTCCGTAAAAACGCCGTGGGTTATGGGTTCCTGGCCTCGCTCCAGTCCACCTTTCGTTTGACTGTTTGTGCGTACTTGAATACGCAAAAATATGGACTGTTGTCGCAGTCTGTTAAAATCATACTATTCTTACCTGTTTTTCTACAAGGACCCACAAGTATGTCTTTGCAAAAAAGCAAAAAACCAGAAAACAAGACTGGAAAATTGTTTACGGCACGTAACTAAAGAAGGGTGGCAAAGGTGGCGGGGGGTAGGAGAATACCTATCCGCGTACCACAGAAGATTGTAACTTTAAATTATTTGGAAAACAGTCGATGTACCAGGTCGTATAGAGATCCAAATAAATATTATCTTGTCTTGTCACACTGACTATTTTTTTAGGCCATCACGCATCTACGAGGGGAAGAATTAGCCATCACGCATTAAGTTGACATGGCAGTATCTCAACCCTTTTGAACGAATTAGCTCTAATAAATTGTTTTTAGTGTCCTTTATAGCAATTTTGGGTAGGGTCGCCCGTTAACAGATGTTCAAATATTAACTATATTAACCAGAATTCACTGATCTGAGAGTAGAGGTCATAAATACGATTTGGACAAGAGATCACGAGCCTGAGCAACGAGAAAAAGGACCCAAAAATGATGTCATGACTATCTCTTTTTTAATGTCTCTGCGCTGTGCATCTAGTTTTAAGTAATCCTCACCAATCATAGTCTGCTACACAGCCGTTTTTAGTGTCGTCACGCAATGCTCCTCCCCACTTGTGGGGAGGAGCATTGCGTGACGACACTAAAAACGGCTGTGTAGCAGACTACACTAATCAGGGAAATCCAAAAGGAAAATCACGCATGAAGCGTTATGCAGATAGTAAATCACGCACAACCCTACTATGCCCAATCACGCCTCGCCCAGCTTATTTGGGCCCGATCACGCATCACGCTGATAATTTGGGGCCTATCACGCGTCACCCCTTTGCAACCCTGATAAAGTGGCAGTACCTAAGGGTGTCACTTTAAATATAGTTATCTTACGAACTCATGAACATTAAGTTAGCGAGCAGGCTCTTGTTAAGCTATAAACTATGGAGAAGTATTTGAAAGTTGGGATCATTTAAATGCAGAAAAAAGGGAAGAAGTGGAAGTCCAGAACCCTTGAGCCTAAAAATAGCCCGTGTACAGAAAGAATCCCCCCCTCCCCTCAGTAAAAATCGGAGAAGAGGCCCCTTCTCCGATTTTTACTGAGGGAAGGGGGAGGGGGGGGGGGGGCCTGTACCCGGGCTCCCAAAAAAGAGAAGGGAGGGAAAAAAAAAAAGTCTTCTGAGGGATATTTTTGGGGGAACTACACAATCGGAAAAAGCCCCCACTGGGGGGAGGTTCCTTTTTCTAGGGGTTTGGGGGGGGGGGGGGGGGGGGGGGGGGGGGGGGTCTGTACACAGGCTACCTAAAAAGAGAAGTGAGAGGAAAAAGAAATGTCTTCCTAGTGATATTATTGAGAGAACTTCCATATCAGAGAAAGCCGCCACGTGGACGAGGTTTCGTTGCTCAGGTGTTTTAGTAGAGCTAGAGAACATGGCACAAAATTTCACGTTTTGAAAAGAAACAATTGCCGAACTAGTAGAACTACTACTTAGAGAAGCAAAAATACAAATCGATGGATGACAACAGCTATATGCTAGGCTAAACATTCTTTAATTTAGTCTTGAATTTACCAAGAAACGGGCTGAGTTCCCTGCATCCCCCTTCTCCTACCCCCTAATTCCCTCCCCCTTCCCTTTCGAACGCCTGCACCGCAGGCTACCTTTCTCCAAGGTGATGAAATACCTTCAAAAACTTTCATGTAGACCTGTTCTTTATTATACTACAGTAATGTCAAACAAACTATTTTAGGGGACTTCAATGCTTCCCTTGTCAGAGGAACAAACATGGTGATATCAGAAAAAGACTACATTTTTTTCATTTTCATGTGGGGTCACTAATTACTCCCGTTTCGTTAATTAGACTACGAGCAGTCTCTCTTTTTTCTTAGTCTGTCGAGCGAAACGCGGGAGACACGGAAATGACTACGCTCATGATGGAAAGCGCTTTACGGGAGAGGCGGGCTACAACCCTCGTTTCTCGCGTCGTGACGCTCGAGCGCGCTTGCACTTCCCTTACTAAATTGGAAGAAAAAGAGAAACTGCTGGAAGTCTACCACCTTGGGGACAGAGGAAAGAGGCCGTTGTAGACAAGTTTAAACAATAGTCAATGTATGGACTGTCCGTTAAGAAAAGAGGCCGCTGTAGAGAGGTGGCTGTTGTATGGACTGTCCGCCAACAAAAGTGGCCGCTGTAGAGAGGGTGGGCGTTATAATTAGTGGAGTTTCAACTGTATTGTGTTGCTGTCACTAATGAACACAACACTAGCCTCAGGCTATATTTTGTAAGATAATATGAGCTTCAACTAAACACAACACTAGTCTCCGGCTATATTTTGTAAAATAATATGAGCCTCAACTGAAAACAACATTAGCCTCAGGCTACATTTTGTAAAATATAATGAGCTTCAACGTCGTTACTTTTCATTGCGATAATTCCCACTGCTCAATATCCTGTTTTAGTTTTTCAAGTAACTCCAACCTGCGACCATAAAAGGAAACCTGCTGCCTCTGCCTGTTCCTCTTTTCTATAACTGACTGCATTCTCGCCTTGTTCCAGTCAATTGATGACTTAATTATGGACTCATTTTTGCGAACATTGTTGGCGATGTTTGCTTCCTCCTTTTTGGCTTCTTTCAGTTCCTTTCTCAAGCTCAAAACCTTGCCTTGAAGAGATTGTAGCCTCATTTGATATTCTTTGTGGTAACCTTCCACACACTTTTTGTGTTCAAAGCATTTAACCATATTGTCACCCTGTGAAATGATGAAGTCAATAAGGCTTTCAGGTTCATCAGCATCGGCAGGCACGGGCTGATCACAGTCATCTGATGATAAACAATGCACAGAGTAAGATGATGATAGGGCTGCAATGATACAGTTAACTTGAAAACTAATTTTACCTACTTTACTCTGGCAGTTTGTTTCCTCGTTAAGATTATTTTAAAAAAATGCAGTTCCAAGTATTACCAAGCTGACGTACCCTGTGGTGCTACTTTCGCTTATACAAGGTTTTCCATGACATAGATACGCACATCAGAGATGCACTGTTTGGCGGAGAAACGCAAAGGGAACGCAAAATTGCAATGAAAACAAGTCCTCTCAAAAAAGGACCGTTCTTACACAAATAATGTTCTGTTTCTCCAAGGAATTTTCCACAGGAATTCCCAAAAAGTTGAGTTTCATTTTGTTTCATTTTGTTTGATAACTTGAGAAGTTTTTACAAATGGTTATCAAACAGAAAAGTCAATCATGTCGCCATCTAGGGCTATAACAATACACACATGTACATGTTGTAGTTAACATGTACATGTTGTAGTTAACTTTTTGTTTTTCTTTGGGTTTTGGGTATGGTGATGTATGTTAATGAAGTGGAAACAAACAAAAAAAAAAAAATTACCTACGATAAAAAATTAACTACAACATATACATAATTTTGTGAACCACGATATTTCTTACCACACTTCAGTAATTTCAATATTTGAACATGTATCATAATACAATACGGTATAAATAGGCTACATTGACAAATTTGTGAATTTATAGCCTTTAATATTCCTTGCCCAAACTCTATTTTGATGGTGAATAAGATGACGACCAAAGGTGTATGCATATTTATTTCTCAACAATATTTCACAATTACACGTCCACAAGCAAAACACGAGGTCACTACAGCTTTGCAAGAGCGGCTTTAACAAAATTTTTCACCACTTTGAAACGCTTCAAAATGAAGAAAATATTTGGAAAAAACCCCACATTCATATGGGTAAGTCAAAAGTTCAGAAATTGTTTTGTCTTCACAGATTTGCATGTGGAAAAGGTTTAGAATACAGTGATAAATTGTTTCTTGTATCACATACTGACCCATGCTCGGAGACCCAGGGGCAGATAGTGGGGGCGAGGGAAAGTCTAAATGGGCAGAAAAATATGGCACGAAGAAAAGTAAAGAACAGCGAGAAGAGCCCCTGGGGACAATGTCTTACCAGACCAGTTCCAAACGATCGCCGCCGTTCTGCCTTCTGATTGGTGCCAGAAAACTTTGTGTTTTTCTGCCCAATCAGAAGGCAGAATGGCGGCAACTGCCTGGGTGGGGGGGAATTTTTTAGTCCAAGGGTTTTTGGGGGTTTTGTTCAAAGCCCTGGGGATTTTTGTGGGTTTGATATTTGCATCCATTCAATCATCCTTGTCACTTGGAATTAAGAGTACTCCGCTGGGCAACAGGTGCGTCATAAACACTCACCATTTGAGGCACCTACTGAGGCTTCCCTTCCTTCCATGAGACCTGCGAAATACTTCCATAGTTGTTCACCAACAACTGTGTTTTGCAATAGAACCTCCACACTTTCTCCAGCTTTGTTGTAATCCTTTAAAGAGTTTGACAGAATCTGTTGGGTTACAGCTGGAGAGGAGTGTTGCCCCCTTAGCAAGAAGTGCACAAAAACTCTGAACAGGTACACAATGGTTGTGGTTTCAGAACATGATTTGGTTGGAGAGAGCATCTTGGCCAATGAATGAAGGACAGTATTCCCTCTGTAGTCCTTTGCTGAGAATAATGATATGGCATGGCTGTGTCTATTCAGCGTCTTTACGATGTTCACAATGGCATTGCACAAAAAGAGGCTTCCCAATGGCTGGTGTTGGAGCAGACGCAATGCCATATGTAACGGCGTTTCCTCGGTAATGGATGTGCGAATAAGAGGACGGAAGCCAAAGTCTGAGAGCACTTCTAAAGCTTTACACTTTCCCAACAAGCAAGCAAGATGGATGATGGAATAACACAGTTTTGGCAGTTGATCAGGAACAATTGCGTTAAGATCCCAAGCAGTTTCTTGGAGATAAGCTCTGAAGTTTGAGCAGGATTCATTTTCAACAGCTGGAGTAATTAGGCTGCCATGATCAGGTGTAGCACAAAGAAGCTGGATTAATTCATGATGTTGTACATTGCATTTGGGCGTGCACAAAAAAGTGTGATACTTCCCTGCAAACAAGAGAGAACCTATTGCATTATAAGTTCTTTTTTGCTTTTTTTAACAAAGCAACACAATCTCTTCACAAATAACTTGATTTTCATCTCCAAACTATCCTCAAGAGGGCTTACGCTAATGAAAAGGGTATCTCTACAGGCCAAAATAATTTTTTACTACCACAATAACCATCAAGTTTGTGGTAATGCTTGCCATGTTCACCCCTTTTCCATTGCTGATTTGCATTTCAAAGTCATCATACTGCTTGAAAAAATATGGGTATGTGGGCTTAATATTAAGAGGGAGAGAAGCATACAAGAGAGAGTGAAAAGTGATGAAGTGGGAGCAATGCACTGACATGAAATGTTTATTGCTTGTAGGGAGGACAGGAGGGTGGAAACCTGGAATAATAGGGTGTAGGAGGGGTTTGGCGTGTAATCTAAGGAAAACTGAAGGGAGCCCAGTGCAATGCACTGACATGAAAAGTTTACTGCTTGTGGGGAGGACAGGGGGGTGGGAACCTGGGATAATAGGGGGTAGGAGGGGTTTAGGGTGTGCTCTAAGGAAAAACTGAATGGGAGTCCAGCACGATGCACTGACACGAAAAGTTTATAGCTTGTGGGGGAGGACAGGAGGGTGGAAACCTGGGATGAGAGGGGGTAGGAAGGGGTTGAGGAGGCAGGAGACCAAAGGGTGAGAGGTGGGACATTACAATCAATGTAAGATGCATCTCATTCTTTCTTACATAGCGAAATGGTAATATACAAAACCCCTTTCGAACAAACACGTTAATCTAAAACACAACATTTTTTGGGTCTTATGCCGTTAATTTGACCCCAGTATAATGTATCGTTATTGAAATGAATGCATTGGCCAACCCCTTCCTCATTTTTACAACACTCTATAAGAATTCCATTGTACAGGTAAGCAATCAAATGCAAATAATGCCACTACATTGATCAGAGCTGAAAAGCCCAAATTTTGGATCATATGCACGAAACTGCTCCCATAAAGAAAGAATGGAGATTTCATAGCATGGGACAAGAAATTTATAATATACAGTGACCTACCAGTGCAAATGCAAAATAAAATTTACCACAAAACAAATTTATGTTGATGACCAAGCAAAATAAATTCACAGCAAAATGAAATGTTACAGGAAAATAAAATTAAGTCTTGCTGTTGTACTTGTCGGCCACCGTAAAATGTGCCCTACCTCCCACTGGCAACTTTGGTACATGAATATGAAATTCTTCCTCTTCTTGACTTAGTGACTGCCCTTCATCTAAAAATAATGAAAGGTGGAAACATTTGAAAAATAACAACTTAAATCAACACCCTACCACAAAATCTTTAACATATAAATATACATTTGATTTCAGGTTAATTTTGATTTAACCTAGGTTGATTCTCAATTTCCAATGTCTCCTAGCCCTAGAAAACAGAGGAAATTGAGAATCAACCTAGGTTAAAAAAATTTAACCTGAAAACAAATTTTACCCATAACATATCCAAATGTTTCAACATATAAATATTCACCCATTCACCCATTCACCCCTGAGTCACCCGTAACTCCCCTCCAAAAATAATGAAGCCTACTAAGTGCCCAGCAAAAAAAAAAAAAAATGAGTCAAGAAAAGCAAAAACAGAGGGGAGGAGAGAAAGCAAAAAGTAAAAGTCAAGACTTCTGCGTCTCTTTTAAACACAAAAACTATCTTAAAATTTTGCTTTCTATGTAGCTGATATTTTGCATCTGGATCAGAATGTCACAAAGTGTATGACCTGTAAATGGGTTTATGGTAAGTTTTAGCTCTTTATACTACTACATGAGAAATTTCTGCAATTTGATTGGCTTAGAGCAGTGGTATTTCAGCTTAATTTGAAATACCTACGTGTGAAAATTACAAAACCTTCTACGGGCAGTAGTATAAACAAATAATAGCATGATTTATACGTGATATTTGGCATAAATACCACTCGTGATATTTCAAAACTGTCTCAAATTACACTCGCCTAACGGCTCGTGAAATTACATATAACAATTTTGAAATATCACTCGTGGTATTTATGCCAAATATCACCACAAATCATGCTATTACCTATACTAATAGCATGACAGTGACCAGAAAACCACTTGCCCAGCTTCAAAATGCATTTTTCAGCAAAATTTCCAGGTGCAAATGGGTTAAACTCCCTGTAGTGTGTCTATGAAGGGGCAAGACTCAAGAGCTATGACAAATTGAAACATTTCACACACAGCAGTTTTTTGTAACAAATTAGTGAAGAAATTAGGAAACTTTCTTTGAAGAGAAACAGACTGACAAACAAGGCAATATTATTGTATATAAAGTAGTATAGCACCTCCCATCAGTGACTGGTTTTTAGTTTGAAATTAGAACTCATCATATCTTTGGTACAATGCTCAAAACATTTCATAACCACAAAACAATACAAGAATTTCAGTACAAGAGATTATTTATTTTAGAGTAAAGTTTATGGCAAATGGCAATCACATGAGTTTGTACCACTTGAGCAAGTTTCCCGTCACTTGTCGCTTACTGTTCATTACTTGTACTTCTACACAAAAATAAGTAGTTTCACACCAGTTTTATCAATAATCATTGTATGGCTACTATTGTATGCGCACTCTGATTGGCTGTTTTCTTGTAATGACTAGGCATTACTAGCTAGGTGTCCAAGGCATATATAATCTGTGTTTAACTTCATGATAGTGGACGTCCTTATGGACATCCATGTTATTGCAGGCTTAAGTGTACAACTTATTATGATGACATTTTTCTTAAAGTTATCTGCTGACCAGTTAATTGATTGCAGGCTCAGATCTATAATAAAAAGGCCATGTAATAAACAACTTATTAACCTTGTCAGTTTGGTCATTTGTTACAAGGAAATCTCAGACCTCAGCCTTGATGTATTGACCTCACTCTTGGTTAATAAGTAGTATGTTTTGTTTTGAGCTGTTTCTACCAGCTCAATCTCTATTTTGAGAAATTCTCAACTTAAATCTGACATTTGCTGTTTGCCGTATTACACGACTCTAAATCTCTCTAATATCAGAGACCTTTAGATTCTAAGACGAGTATGACTACGAGCACAAGATTTTCCCAATACCAAGTAGTGCTCGCGCGTGAACAAGTGTCATTTTGGCGGCAAAACATGATAGCCATCGTCATTCTATTACAAGTTTTAGCAAGAATGTCCTAGAGACAGAAGGAAGTTTTCAATAAAAAATATTGTTAGAATTTCTATCATTTTGCCATCAGGAGAGGGCTTAACCTCCTTAAATAAAGATGACAATGCTAACTTTTCTGGTGAAAAAAGTTCAACAGAGCTTTCCAAGGTGTTTGTTTTTTGAGAACATGTCAAAAAACTTTAAGTCAAATCTCGTACTTATAGTCACTCTTGTCCTTGAATCTAAAGGTCTCTATTGACTGACAAGAGATACCTGCTGAGTCAGTTTCACTTCCTGCTGAGGTTTCTGTACTCATTTGCAAGGTTGAATGATGTGTTAACACTTGTTGCACTGTATCAGATTGAACTGACGACATGGAGGTTGACAAAGTAGAAGGCATGGATTCATCTTCACATCCAGTGGAGATTTGAGGGAAAGAACAGTTAGTTGATGAGGCAGTGGTGCCAGATGATTGAACAACCTGCACGGACATGCTGGCACTTTGGCCAACTGGAAGGTCACCTTGGAAATCATTTGTCTGCAACACAGGCCCTGTTTGAGCACCAGTAATTACCTCTTCCACCATTTTACCCTGTGCAATATGCTCTTCTTCATTTGTGACCTGTTCCACAGCATAATCAGTATTTCCACCTTCTGCAGCAGGTGGGGAGGCGTCGCTTATACCATCACTACATCCAATTCTTTTCAATTTTTCTTCTTGAAGAATCTCAAAAACTGTCTCTCCAGCTTTGTTTCTGACATCAAAAAAGTTTAGCACTTGGCTGTGATGCAGTGGTCCTTCAACAGCAAGCTTTTGAAGCACATGAATCAATTCTTCACAAAATTGATCATATAATTCTCTCTGATCAAGCAACTGTTGAAGTTCTGGACTATCAGGAGCAATAGATTCTTTAGCTTTGATTTTACAGGTGAGCTCCCTGATCTTTTTAGCACACACATGAAGAACAGTGTCATCATTGAGTTCATCTTGCAACAGAAGAACATCACTATCATACTTGGCAAAAAGCTTCAACACCTTTTTGAATACAGTATCCTTCTCATCAATATTAGAAGAAGGCTTGAAACGATGCAAGTTTTTAAAGAGTAGTATGATAGGCAAGTCTTTGGCAGAATGAGCAAAGTACTGCGAGTGACTTAGCTGTGCTTTTAACATGGATTCTAACAAGTCAAGTTTACCAAACAATATAGCCGTGAGAATGACAAGCTGGCGAAGCTGTGAGCAGGGGTCTTTAATGCCTATGGATGATTTCCAGCCATTTTTTAAAGATAATTTTAAGTGGTTCTCCAGACAGGTTCTCAGTTTGCAATCATCTGCAACACCGGCTGCCAGTACAAATGGATTGTGTTTTGATGTGCAGCTACTTTCACACAATCTAGTATGCAAGCCATCAAGCAGATCCTTTAGCGGGATGTTAACACACTTACTCAGTTTTATTTTCTTTCTCGATGGTTGGCTCAGATCTTCAGTTAAACATAAGTCTTGAAACCTGCCTTTTGAGACTGGACTATTCAAAGCCCTGACTGAGGCATCAATCACACGAAGAGATTCATCTGAATGCTCCATTACTACACACGAGCAAGCTGTTTCAACTATCATATCACAGAGGACAGCTTCTGGATCTTTAATGCCTGCTTCAGAAGCATCAGAGATGCAATTGAGGGTAGATTCTATTTCCCTTAGGGTAACACATGAAACAGATGACTCATTTCCTTCTGACAATGGCATGACGTCAGTTACAGTTGACACTGCTTCATCTGTCATACTGCTGTTTGAAGTTACAGTGGAATCACTTGGTTCATCACAATTTGCCAGTGGTGTGTTAGAAATGCTCTCTAGAGTGGTTGCAGTTTTCTCTAACATTCTCTTCTCTGTGCTTACAGATACATCAGTTTTCTCTTCCAGGTCTATCAGACCAGAATGCCTTGTTTGGTTGTCTTCAGTATTGTCCAGGTTTACAGTGGAAGTATGCATCTCTTGTGTACTGAATACTTTTTCTTCCTCAGAGTTATTAGTCCCAGATTCATTTTCAGGATCATCAAAGTTACTGTGACTTTCACTTGAAAGATCCTTCATTACTGAGGCATTCTCAGAGGTAATGTTCACACTGCTAGATTGGCTTTGATTTATAAGATCATTCTTTGTGATAGCTAACTCTTCTAATGTAGCAGTTGTCTCAGTTTCCATGTCCAAATTATGACCTTGTATCTCACTGCCATTATTTTCGACACTGTTCAGATGAAAAGCTTCTGTTTCATTTGATGACATATTCGAGTTTGAGACCGTTATATCTGACACAGAACCATTCTCAGTCACATTGTTCACACAAGAAGATTGCAATTCAGTGCCAATATCATCCACTCTGTTCACATCAGAACCTTGGATCTGATCTAATGAATTCTGAGCAGATGTCCTTTCACATTGCATAGTTGCATTCTCAGCCACCTCCTTCAAACTACAAGATTGCAATTGAGTGTCATTATAACCCACTAAATTTTGATGAATATATGTAGATGGTTGTATTTCATTTGAAAACTGTTTTGGTATTGCTGTTTCGCCTAATACAGTGGTATTTTCAACTATCTTGTTCACATGGGAGGATTCTGTTTCAGTGCCACTGTTATCTAAACTGCTTACAAAAGAAGGCTGTATTTCATTTATTGAACCCCTGAGCGCAAAAGTCATTTCATCTGGAACGGTGGTAATCGTCTTATCTCCACTACAAGATTGAATTTTATTGCTATTATCATCCACTATGTTTACACCAGATGGCTCTGCATCTGTTGATGAATCATTCAACATGGTTGTTTTTCCATCTAGTACAGTGGTACTCTCAATCATCTTATCTGCACTAGAACATTGAACGACATTGCTATTATCATCCACCATGTTTACATCAGATGTCTCTGCTTCTATTAATGAATCACTCAGACTTGTTGTTTTTCCATTTGTTATGGTGGCAGTGTTCACTTCCTGATCTTCAACGGAAAATAATTGAATTATGTTATGGCCAACATCATCCAATCTCTTCACACTAGAAGACTCTGCTTTACTTGATGGAGAAATTAACGTTTTTTCACCTGTTACAGTGGAATTCTCGACCATCTTTGAACATTGAATTTCATTGCTATGATCATCCAACGTGTTTACACCAGAAGGCCGTGCTTCATTTGATGAATCGATCACCATGGTTGTTTCTTCATCTGATACAAATTGTATGGTAGCATTTTTAACCACTGTGTTCACACTACAAGATTGCATTTCCATATCATGGTCAATATGTGCTCTGATTGCACCAGAAGGTTGTGTTTCATTAGATAATTCCTTCGGTGTGGAAGCACTCTCGTCAGCTGTTTGTAAAGTGGTATTCGTCAACATCTCATTTCCATCAAAAGACTGAATTCCAGAAATATTCTGAACTATTCCGCTCCGAGCAGAAGATTGAGCCTGTGGTTCCTTCGCTGAATCATCCAGGGAGGAAATCCATCTTCCTAGAACATTGGCCTCAGATGTTTTGTTCGAGCTTGCATCGACGTCGGCATATTTTGAAATGTTTTTGCTCAAATCAGGTGACTGCATTTGATCTAAAAGTTCATCGAGCTTGGAAGACAAATTGTTTTTTCTTCTCTTGCCTTCGCTCATGAAAAAATAAAGTTCTTTACTCGTGAAATGACGCAGAAAGGTTGGCAGACTATGTCTGGTATGAACTGCTCGACCTCGTGAGTATTTGGGTTTGGTGATTGGCTTACACAACGTGCTCCCTTTCATCAATATAAATTGCACCCCACTCGATCCAGTTCTCGTCACGATCAAATTTCGTAAAAATGGTGTCTTGTAGGGGAATTTGTCAACCAGTTTTCTCAGCCCTTTTGGAGTATCATACAGCAAAGATAGTGCATATCAAAAGCAAAAAGGTTGGACTGATCAATCGACTAATACAGTTAGCGATCATTGTTTACATTATAGGGTGAGTAGTGTTTCAGCTTCAGTTTCGAAATTAATGCCAAACATACAGAAGGCAACGCAACAAGCTACTTTTCTTGACCTTCAACTGGATGTAACGTGTAAGTCAGTCCAGTCCTTGCAAAAGCAGATAAAAGATCGGATAGAACTGCTGACGTTTTAAGGTATTCGATGAGCTGTAGCTGCAGGATCAGCTGTAGGTACTCAATCAGCTGCTTCAAGTGTTTATGCAAATACCACAAGAATTGCAATCGACCACCTTTGAAGAAAGACGAAAAAAGAAGTAGCCTAGCCATGTTCTATAAAATTTACAATGACCAAACTAGGATAGACACTGGGAAATATCTAAAGCCGTTGAGTCGAGTTAGCCGTCATGTTAATAGCCAAGCTTATGATCAGGTGCCAGTTGCATATTTGCTATTTTGATCCAAGAACAATAAGCCCGGCCTAGCTAATCGAATGTTCGGTAATCGAACTCCAGTCATTCGATTGACTTCAATTGCGTTCGGTAATCGAACTTAACCCAACTCACCCAAAAGGTTTGCCAATCAAACACTTAAAAACAATCGGACATAAAACCAGTTTCTTCTGGTTTCAAACAAGGTGTTGTGTTCAAGTAGTTTGGCTTCAATTTCAAATACGAGCAGGGTGCAAAGAAAGTCAGTTTTACAGCTTGCCATTCGGGCAAGCTGAAGCTAGTATTTATCAGCCCAAATGTCACTTCAACCAGCCCCAAAAACTTTTTGATGAGGAGAATTGATTTCACAGTTCTTCTGTAATTTAAATTCAATCCCACTAGCCCCGTGCTACCGGACACAACTTTCTTTGCACACTGACGAGTATGCAAAGATGTCACAGCAATGGTTAAAGGCTACCATGAGTGCTCTTTTGCCGTCGGTGTCAGAGAAAAGTTTGTTATTAAGAAAAAAGGAGGAGATAGTAACAGGGGTCCTGCTCTGAAGGTAAATGACTAAACTTGGACATTTGCCATATGAACTGGTGCCTGTACTTTGGCCACTGACCGACAAAGTTGAAGTGTAAGGCCCTGTTTATACGTCGCGCAATCGTCGAATTCAATTCAAAGCCTCCCACGCAACCAATGCAATAAAATTTGACGATTATGTGACATATAAAATGAATTAAATTCGTCTGAGGAATAATCAAACTTTCCGAAAAGTTCTAAATCTGACCGATTAGGCTCGATTGATTTTGGTCAGTTTCATTCGATAAGAGAGTTGAACATTTTTCCAAAGAGGTCATGTAATGCCTTTTCTTTGATGGCATTTACAAACTGCCTTTATTTTATAAATATTATATGACTACTTTTATTTATTTCTTTTATATTCCTTTTTTAATATTGACCACTGGCCAATTTGCAAGAATCATCAATTATTTTTGTTGGAGGCAAGATAGATAACCATAATATGTGACATTTACGACAATTCGTGCAGAATGTAGGAAATGATTCGATCTTTGATGTTAGTAATTTCTTTTGTTTGGTTTTAATAGACCTTCAGGTATTTAATCCTTGCAGTAATTTTTTTTTAAGGTATGTGATTGTTTATAAAAAAGGATATCAAGAATTTCAGGAACCATACAGTTCTGTAACTACCAAAGTGAAAGGCTTATCACTCACCGACTTAACAAGGAGTGGCCCAGAATTTCCACTGTATGGAGGTGTTCATGTGTGGGACTCATCAGATTTTGTTGTCTCTCCTGAGGTACAAACTTTTAGCTCTAACCATAACAACTGAATTGCAATGAATGGAAGATGAGTGCCTGGGATGTTTGGGAACTCCCCTGTCACCAACTGACCCCTACAAAGAGACCCACTCCTATGGCTGCCAATCCCCAGAACCCAGCCTATCACCCCCATACAGTGTACCTCACCAAGTCATCTAAGCTCCCATCAAACTGTGTTTGCAGTGGAAAATAAGGGAAGGATTAGGCTGGGAGGGGCACAAATGACAAAGAAGAACACACTCCACAGAAAAAAGCCGTTATGCTTGAACACACTGAAATGTGCTATAAGGCTATGCCAGAGAAGGTGACAGAGCATCAGCTACTCTTTGTTGTTAACTCAGTTTAATTGCATTTAATGGTAACCGCATTTAACCGCATTAGTTCCATGAGTAGCAACAATATATAAAACAATATTGCTAAGTAATCAAGAGAAAACGTTTTCAGAAGAAAACGTTTTATTGGTCCTCAATGCCAAAATCTTTAAGGGTATAAAGTCTGAACCCGAACTGGAATAAATATTCAAAAGGGTGGTGTGCTCAACCCAATAACCCTTGAGTACTGATAATACATTTTAAAAGCACCACATTGCAATAAATGATAGAAACAAAAGTAGATCATCATCTGTTTCAAGTGTTTGCTGGGGGCTGACAAGAATACTATTTCGCTAGGAGGTATTTTTTTTATTATTTTATAAAAAATATTGTTTACAGAATATGGAAGATGGTGGTGTGGGGAATTCCTTAAGGGCAAGGGTAGGGGATACCAGTTTTAGTCCTGATATGTATATATTACTTGCCTTTAGTTTATTGATACTTTACCTGTTTGTTTAGCTTTTTTGCTGCTAATTTGTGCCAACAGGAGAATAATGCCGTATTTGTAATGACAAATGTGATCATCACACCAAATCAAACACAGAGCACTTGTCCAGAGAACTCAGAGTTGCCAGGGGTACAGTGTACAAGTGACAGTGATTGTAAACCTCTAGAACCTGTGAAAAATGGCAATGGTATACACTTATAATAATACAATAATTATATTGATAAAATATTAGCATATATCGACTTTAATTTTAGCATTTTGTGATCCAAATGTTTAAATTGAGCCAAGAGTTGGTTATATGTGGTAAATGAAATGTGTTGTGATTAATATGCACTAGTTACCAGTAGTGAATTGATATAATCTATTGTTAGTGAAATGACGCCTTGTGGGCAATTAGTCTATGATGGCTCTCAGTTCTTCTGTATTTTTGGTGGACATAGAAACTCAATCATGATCAGTCGATGACAACATGATTATCTTCAAAAAAGGCCGCATTGCTTTAATGTTAGTTGTTCTAGAAAAAAAAACCGAGTTAACCTTTCATAAACCGCTTGATTCTTAAAAGGCATAATTTGACATGAGTATATAATTGCATGGGACCCTTTTTTTTCAATTATTGTCTTATCTTTTGTTTTTTAATGTGTTTTATGTTCTGTGATGGAGTATTGTCAAACATATGTTCCAACATGACTCGTGTAACTACTGTGTATTTTGCAAGAGTTAGCATTAGTTCGCCTCACCTTTTGTTTTGTAATACTTTGTAATGTTTGCAATAAAGAGTTGAATTAGTTCGCCTCACCATTTTACTCTTTTTTTAGAGTTACTCAATTTACGATTCAGAGATATTATTAGGTAGTTGTTTATTAGAACTCAGAATTTAGAGTTTAAATTATTAGAATTTACAACATTTTACTAGAGTTTTATATATATATAATACAGTCTCCCCAATTAGTAAGGCACTGTACCTGAGCTATAAGACATGAGACTTTAATAAAGTTCATTATTATTTTATTTATTATATGTATGTTTAGTCCTGACAGCTGATTTTGTTGCTAAGGCAGGCCAGCACACATCATTATTTTTAGAGTTTTACTTATTAAGAGCTGGTAAACACTGTGCAAACTTAACATGTATGACTGTATGAATGACTGAATGTATGACTATACTAGCTACTCAACCTACTTTTGTAGTACTATGTGTTGGTCATGGTCAAAATTTTCTCTTTTCTCATAATGCAAGCTCAAACCAGAAATTATTCCAGGTATATAAAAAACTCTGACTCTTTTCAAACTCTTAAAATAAAAGCTTTGAAATTCTTGTTAACATTAAGGTTTCAAGACGGGAAGATGTGTAAATAATGAAAAAGGAGAGAAAGTTTGTGAGATTTATTCCTGGTGCCCAGTGGAGATTGATGAACTTCCAATGCCAGGCTTTAATTTAAGGTAAGGCCCTTGCATTTTTTAAATAAATAATTATGTAAAATATGTTAATGTACTTTTTTTTACCATCTTTTCAGTTTTGTGCATATCTTACCACTATAATTATGGATTATCCTGTCATTAAATGCTGTAAGCAGTATATATTTTTAATAACTGGCATGGACTTCAATGAGTTTCAAGTTTATTTCAAAATTTTACAGGCTAATTTACAAACTGCTCCACCCACAAGCAGGGCTAACCAAGGCAGGAAGAGAAAATCAGATAGTTTAAATACCTTGAAAATCTAAATACATAAAAAAATACATAAATAAATATCATCAACAATTTTAAACCTACTCACCTGCCATTTGAGTTTCACAATGGGAGTAGGTTCTAGTTCCCCATGGACCAACACTTGGTGGAAAAATCAGTCGGAGAGTTTACTAGTATTGCTTGAAATTTCATCCTGTATCTATGAGAAATTATAAACCTAATGCTAAATGTTTTTGATCACCAGTGTGAGATGTTGTTCTTTCCTATTGCACTAGTTATAATGTTCCTCTTCTTGACGCTGCTAAGAATTTCACCATACTCGTTAAAAACAATGTGCAGTTTCCCAAGTTTGGTGAATCAAAGTAAGTAATAATATTTACAGTTTAATTTATACTTCTTGTTTTGAGCTTACTGGCTTATAGCTAGAACGCTTTATGCCGGCATCAGCGTAAGAACGATGGTAAGGTCATTGCTATTGTTCTTGTGTGTGCAGTGAAGCGTAACCTTAGGCGCCAATTCAAAGGGACTGGCTTTGATACCTGCTATCTCCCATTCTCTGTTTTATACAGCATTGTTATGACAAGGAGGAATTTGACACTGATCGTTCTTAGGGCTTTTTAATAAGGTTAAATAGGATATTATGCTCCTTTATTTTAAAAACATTGAGTGTTTGAGTTTGTGAGGAATGGCCTTTCAAATATAATATTACAGGAAACATGTTCTGTTATGATAATTCTCAAATTGAGTTTAGCCAGAGTAATTTCTTTGCTATTTCTATCCATTCTTAATATATTTATATATATATATATTTTTTAATTTATATTTCTTTTTTTGTTTACTGTGAGAAAATCATCTCATTTGTTATCACATTGGTGACAGAAAATTGTGCTGTCAAACAAATTGCATCCCCTGTTATGCAGCATGCATCCCTTAATCACAAGATGGCAATTATGACAAGCAAGTTTACCTCTTAGAGGTTTCAACAGCAGTTGCAGGTGATAAGCTTTGGTTTTTGCCTTTAAAAGTATATTATTTTTGTTTGTCCAAACAGGAGAAACATCCAGTCCAATAACAAAACATACTTGACTATCTGTAATTATGATCCTGAAACAGACCCTCTGTGTCCAATATTCCAGCTTGGAAAGATTGTTGAGCTAGCAGGTGTCAATTTTGATGAAATAGCTTATAAGGTAAGTTCAGGTTTGAATTAACAACAGAAAAAAACAGAATTTGACTTCTTTCATGAATGTCAGTTTCAGATCATCCTAATTCAGTATCAATGACCTGACCAGTGGCCACGGCAAAAAACTCTTATACAATCTAGCCAATCAGTGTGTGTGAAGTTACTGCCAACTTTGGACATTCTTCCTTTTACACAAAAAACAACTGGAAACTTGCATGGCATAGAGAAACACATTTTTTGTATGATTTATAGTGAACAGAGTAGACCATCACACATGAAATATCTATTTCAGTTAATTTGTTTAAAATTATAATTGATTAATTTACTTTTTCAATAATCTTTTTTTTCTGTTGTCGTTTTCATGTCATTTTAGGGTGGAGTCATGGCCATTGTTATGACATGGAATTGTAACTTTGACTCTCTTGCATATTCTTGTGAACCCAAGTACTCATTTAGAAGGTGATTACAGATCTCCTGGTCACAATAATTATAGTTGGGCTGTAATATTAGGATGCAGTCCGGTTAAATTTACCATATTTCATTCTTTCACCACACAGTACGATCGGTGAAAGATGGTTAAATTTACCATCTTTCATTTTTTCACCACACAGTACGATCTTGACATTGCTGATCCTAGCAGTATGCAGGACGCACGTCAAATATGAACCTAGTATACGGCCTCGCTCTCCATGAGTTCTCCGTAACTTAGTGGATAGAGCGCCCGCCTGGTGTTTGGGAGATCATAGGTTCAAATGTTGATTCTGATTTTTTCTTTGTCCCACGCTCGTGACATGCAGATTATTTCATCTTCACATTTGTTAACTGAGCTTAAAATTTACCATCTTTCATTCTTTCACCAATCATTATATGGTTTTTTAGTAAACAATCATGTTTTCTCCTCAGATTGGATGACTCCAAAGCACTGATTGCCGAAGGTTATAATTTCAGGTAACATTAGTTCCATGTCATATCATTATCATCATACTGATCCCACTGACAAAGTTTTTTATATTCTAACCATGGAAGAAAGCCTGTTCCAGACTGAAAGATACTTATAGTAATGAGCAGAAGTCATGAAATCTGATGCATAAAACACGCACCCCCTTTCCCAGATCATACACATCTTATTCTCTCATGCATATGGCTTGTTCAGTTTGGAACATTCCAACTATCTAAAAGCCTGGCACAGGCTAAACATGAGTGTTTAAATTTCTTTGTTTTATTTTTTCAATACTTTTGCAGATACGCTAATTATTATGTACAAGACAATGTTCTTTACAGGACACTGTTCAAAGCTTATGGTATTCGATTTATGATCCTGGTATATGGACAGGTAAAAATAATTGTTGCATGTTCTGTTCACCATGAGGTCATATCTTTTACAGAAAATGTCCTAACCCCATGGCTACAGACTATTTTTAGTCTAAGCCCTTGATCATCTCTTTTATATGGCCTTTCATTTTAATTAAGTATTTCCCTCGACACTTTGCTTGAGAAACGCTTTTCCTTTTTTCGTTTCCTATTCTTTTGCAATAATATTACCATGAATAAATTCATTATTGAAGATTGTATCTGGAACAAATAATATCAATAAAAGGGCACTTGATATGTTAAGTTCTTGCTTTGTTTTACAAGCAAACACATAGCAATTTGGAATCTAAACGTTTCCATAACCCTATCACATTGGCTTTTTTCTTTCGCCTCATTTAAATAAAGATATTCAGAGAGTTCAGAGAAGTATGTTATAATTATTAAAAGGAAGGTCCGTGTGCTTGTGATAACACTTCGTTTTTGACAGATCCAAAAAATTTGAGTAGCTATAAAGAGCTATAAAAATAAAGAAAAAAATGTTTGATTTTCTGTATTCCTAGGGAGGAAAATTTAGTGTCATCCCATTGTTTCTCAACCTGGGATCTGGTCTTGCCCTTCTTGGTATCGTAAGTATTCAAATTGACATTGATACTTTATTTTATTGTTGTATTTACAGTACAATATGTTCTTGTGCCTTTCACCTGCGATCAGACGTTCATTTCAGGGGAGCATGAAATTTACAATATCTCATTTCTTTTGCAGGCCACAGTTCTTTGTGACATTGTGGTTCTCTATGTACTTCAGAAGAAGTATTTTTACAGGGAGAAAAAATATCTTTTGGTTGATGATACGGAAAGTAAATCTGATGATTTCCTGGTATGTTGAAGTTGCCTTGTCCTGCTTTTTTTCCAGTTAGATAAAAAAGTTTGAATGTTATTGATACAGAAGCATCTTCTCTAGTGAACAACCATTGTTAACCATTTAAAATTTTGAACAGCTTGGGCCTTCCGAGCTAATCTATTGACCAGTCAAGGATATGTTATACTAAACGCCAGCTCACTATGAACATTGCAGTAATAAAATTATTAGTCTTAAATTTAGCAACTCTAAGACCAGAAT